CACTCCTCGTGCCTGTCCTTCTGTTTAGGAGCAGGGCACTCCTCGTGGCTGTCCTGTTTAGGAGCAGGGCACTCCTCGTGGTTGTCTTTCTGTTTAGCATTACTAAAACTCTTCTTTCCCATATTTGAAATGTTACCTTTATCATAGACTCAATTTATGTAAGTTTACTTTTATGTTTTAAAAATTGTTTTCTAGTGATTGATTTATTTATATGTCAATATTACAGCTTTTAAAAAAAAACTTTATTTAGACTGTTTGTGGAGGCACGCATGTTTAATCCCAGCACTGAAGAAGTAGAAGCAGTTGGATCACTGTTAAATTCCAGGCCAGCCAGAGCTATGTGGTGAGACCCTGTCTCAAAAACAGCATACACACACACACACACACACACACACACCACACACCACACACATTTAAATAACTTTGAACTTAGAGACTAGCTACAGTAAAGAGAAGGATTAGTTCCCATGCACCCTCGTTCAGTTCTTCACTCTTTTTGACTGTCAGAACTAAGGAAACTAGAAAGGGACTGTATCATTGGTAGCCAGGGTGGTGTAGTCCCAGTCCTTGGGAGGCTGGGCAAGAGGCTTGCTACCAGTGGGGGGCTAGCCTGGGCTGTGATGAATTTGAGGACAGCTTGAGCCTTGTGTTAATATGTGGTGGGTCTACTCCACTGTCATTTTATATTTTTGCTAGCCTTCTTTTCCAAATGTGTAGCTACAGAAAACAATCAAAATAAACCTTATGTAAAATTTTTATTGGAATTATAAAATTATATTAATTTAGGGAAAAGTAGCATGTTTATGATGCTGATCTTAATGCACAGTCATGCCTTCCCACTTGTTGGCGATCTGTGAAAGTTTACAACATCCACCTATGTTTTCCCCATGGATTACCTCTAGGAAGATTAAGCCATAAATTTTATGTGGAAGCATGAACTATCAGTTCTTGTAAATGGGATTTGTTTCTTGTGTTTCACCTTCTATCTGCCTTCTATTTGAACATACGAATTTTTTAATGTTTGTCCTATAGTATATTCATATCTTGTTCCCCACTATTTCAGTTGTTTAACACTTCATTCAAGGTTTGCCTTCTAATTTCCTTTATTAATTTGTGTCAACTACTGCTGTAATCTAATGTTTCTGTATAAGGAGGCTGCTTCTTCTAGGGCTGATGTGAATCATATTAAGGAAATTGGAGTGTTTGGTTGTCTGGTGTTGGGGTTGATCCTGGGGCTTCACACCTGCTAAGCATGCCCTTCACATTGAGCTGAGGCCTGGCCCGCAAGAGCTCTTTCATTTATTGTTTTCAACAAGAATGGCTGATGAAAACACCTCTTCTTAGTTCTTTTCTCTGTGTGGTCTATTCATGTCCAGTGATACAAACTAGTAGTAACAGCTGTGCCATCGTGACTCTCCTAACCCAGTCTTTCTGTGCAGAATTGCTGACATTAAATTTGTAGCCATCCCCCTGCCTTAGTCTCTAGTGCTAAGACTGATTATAGGTATACACCACCATGCTCAACTGTATTGTAAGTCTTCCTAGAAAAAGGTCCCATTTCTTTATGGGGATCAGTTTGGTAAACTATGTTTCCTGGTATATTGTTTGACTAATGGTCTTTATAATCTTACGATTTTAGGTGATCTTTTATGATTTGCTCACACTATAGTGTGAGCAGGAATCTGAGTTGGCATCTTGCTACAAGGAAATAAGTTGAGGTGTTTGCATGCCCTCGGTCAAGTCAGGTTTTTGAGTTTCTCCAATTCACAAGGCAGGGTGACATTATGTGATCACATAAGCTCCATTGTTGTGCTTGGGTGGTACTGGAGATTGACCCCTTGCATATTTGAGGCAAGAACTTGCCACTGAGCATCACCTCCAGCCCTTTATAAAAAGCTGTTAAATGACTTCTAGTTACACTGTTTGGTGTGAAATTCTTATGATTGCATGAAAAGTATTCCCAAAGTAAATGCCAAAATTTCCAATTTTTGTATAGAGAAATTGCAGGTTAAGACAAGACAGCTTCAGCCTCCTAGAAGGGTTGTAAGGTAGAGTAATCCTCCGTGAAACATCTCATTGTTTTCTTATTTCATTGTTAGAACGGAAGGACTTCAGTGATTGAGATTCTTTAGGGGAGCAGAGGTCATGAAAATCTTGACCACAGTTCAAAACAAATCTGGGGGCTTTGGCCAATAAGAGTGCTTGGGTTCTCAGCACTAACATTGGGTGGATCCCAACCACCTGCAACTCCAGCTCCAGAGGATCTGATGCCCTCTTCTGGCCGCTGTGGGCATTGCACTCTTGTGCTCAAACAATGGACCCACATCAACGCCCATAGTTTCTGCCTGCTGGCCAGAGCTTGCTCTTTTTTGTGGTTATGTAAATTGACTTGTCTCAGCACACCCCCACATTAACGTTTCCCTCGTTTTGTTATTTTAGTGTACATTACCTCTAATTGTATTTTAAGTAAATTATTTTGAGGCTTAATTATTAGAGCTTTGTTGGATCCCTACTTGTCAGATGATTTCAATATACTGTGTATTTCTGGACCTGCTCATTATTGACATATATAAAACAGGAAAAAAAAGATTAATCATGTGTATTTTGCTGTTGTCCTTGAGAGCTCTCCTTGGTCTTGTGGAAGGTGGTCTGCTTCTTTCCCTCTCGTCCCTGGTGTAACGGAAGAGCGGCTTCACTGTAAGGTCTTGCTAAGAAGTTATGCTACACGTGTGCTTTCAGAGTATATTTACTTAGAATCGTTGGTTTTCAGTCTATATTTTGTTACTCCTAACAGTATTCCTTTAAGTTTATGTTGAAGCAGGTGGTAAATGCCTTCTGCAAATGAAATAACGAAGGGGCAAAAGTTAACCAATAGATGACCGTGCCTGAGCCTAAGACCATACTTCCAAATGTGAGTCTCCTTGTTTTTAACTTTGGAAACTTCCGATAGATGGTCTCCAGCCCAGGCCTCCCCTTCTTAGGCATCCTTGGGTTGTCCCAGGTTCACCATTGTCTCCGGACTAGATTTGAGTCCCTTGATTTGTTGTTAGGGTGCTCGAGTTGTACAACTCCAGTATTGTCACAAATAGCCAATGGTGTAGGCAGCCTGCATTGTCCTAAATAGATTTCTTTCCTTTTTTTGAAGCAGTTTATATCAGGATCTTTAAATGTATGTGATATTTTTTATGTTAAATGATTTAGAATTGTTTATTCTTAATTTTTATTCCAAAATTAGTTGACATTAAGCTAAAAAGAGAATCTGGGTTTCCTGACTCTTGTTATTCTTTCTTTTTTTTCTTCTTTTGTTTTTCTCTTGATTAGTCTTGACCTACCTTGTGTCATTCTGCATCTGGTCATACCAGCTACCTCTTATTACCCAGCCGCTCTCTTTCTTGTCTCCTATTCCCTCCACTCTCTTTGAAGTCTTATCTCTACGGTCATCCCATCCACTTTCTTTTGTCAAATGTCTTTCACCCTCATGAACACAGACCCCTTCTGCCATAGACTGGGCTATCCTTTCCATCAGAAGTCTCAGTTTTATCTTTTCTTTTGTGACAGTTTTGTGAATGGCTGCTGTTCTGTGACATCTTAAATCTTCAGAACTACTTCATCATGGATGTTTTAAGACAAACCTTTCATTAAATAAAAGTGATAGAATGGTCTTGTTAATCTATTCTGACTTTGAAAACCTATAACCCATGCTCAAATCTAAGACTGAAATCCATTACTATACAAATTCCTTATCAGTGGCTCTGTTCTGTAAGTTTGACACAACAGGGCTATTTAGATCATCTTTAACCTTGAAAGATTCTTACAGACAGAAATCTTCCCTGTGCAGATAGGGCTGAGGTCTGCCTTCTGCTTTAACCCTGTTTCCCTTCAGCTAAGACCCTGTGTTCTGTCCTCTCAGGAAGTGCTGCTGCTGCTTGAGTGACGTCGTTTGGAGACCAAACCCGCACACAGGCACCATTCCCTGTCTGGACAGCTCTGCTGCCATTGTCTCTTCCTTCAAAACAAAACAAGCAGCCTCTCCATTTTCAGTAGTGAATTTCAAAATCCTTTTTAACCCCATAGGTCCAAGGGTAGCCAAGGATGGCTGCAGCTTCATATGATCAGTTGTTAAAGCAGGTGGAAGCCCTGAAGATGGAGAACTCAAACCTTCGACAAGAGCTAGAAGATAATTCCAATCATCTTACAAAACTGGAAACTGAGGCATCTAATATGAAGGTATCAAGACTGCAACTTTTAATTGTAGCTGATCCAGTTTCATTCCATATCCTCTTGTCAACTTGGGGTAACTAAGGTGCTTTACTGACTCAAAAGTATACTTTAAACTAAACAATAATATATAAACTCTTTCTTAGAAAAGTTAACATATTCTTAGTAAATGTGTTAAATTAATATAACAAATCATTGAAAGAAAATAAATTAGCCCTGGTGACTAGTTCTTTCTAGTTTTTAAGTTTAAAAATAATACCCATAACTTTATCATTGTATTCAGTTTAGAGGGAAGGGTTTCTGTATAGCTTATAGAAACTAGCTTTATTTTACAGTGTATCTCAAATATTGCATTGCCTTATTTGGAAAATGCAGGCATCATAAGCCTAGAGAATGATTTCTATGGCACTTGTAAGCCCTGATGTTGGTTTGCCAGATAGCAAGAAAACTTACACAGTAAAATATTTAGTGTGTAGAAGGGAAAAGATTTAAAGTCATTGATTAAAACTTTAGTTACTTTAATTATCAGTTAGGCAGATTCCCACCAAATATAATAACTTCATAAAATTGGAAATTGTCATCTTCCTTTCCTGAGGGAAAGTTCTATTTTGTGTTGTTTCTGTTGCTTGGCTGTTTTAACATCTTGATTTCTGACTTTTTCCTCTGAATACTCCACTTTCTTCATCTATAGATATTTCCTATTCTATCTAGTTCTTTTTCTGTCATTTCAAAGTCTCCCTTTTCTAGACTGTTGTGTCTCGCTGAAGAAACTGTTCTCTTTCCTGCTTTGGTCCTTTAGCTCCAGCACCCTAACAGCCCAGCCTTTTGCTCTTACAATCTTCCTATCATCTTTTCTCCATTCTAATTGCCATAAAGACTCTGGCAATAACGAATCCAAAATAGCCACTTCATATCATTTTGGAAATAGTCTAACTGTAAACAATGGTTTGGTTTTTCTTACCACAAGCTACTATCAGTGATTTCAAACACCAGAGTCAGTTACCTAATAGGTTAAAAAGCCATTTGTTATCATAACACTTACAGCACAGCATCCTTTACACTTGTACAGGGCATCTGTTTGAGAGTTCAGGGATACAATGTACAGACACATTTTGGTTTGCTTGACTGTGTATACATTGCACACTTCCTTCTGAAAGACCTGTTTAAACGGTACACACCTGACTTGTCATACAGAGCTCAGTTCTAGGTTGAAGTTTTCATTTAACTATTTAAGCAAATCCAAAAATTGTTTAAACACTTTGGAGGAGACATTTTAGTCGATATTAGGTTCATCTCCACGCTGAAAGTAGAGTGTCTTTGAGAGTGACCATTGGAGTCACACCTTGGGTGCTTGCTTATAAACCAGGCACAGGAGGAATAAATTTAAGGTGTGCCTGAATTCAGCAATTTCTCGAAGGTGTTTCTACACACATCCTTGCAGACCTATTTCATTAGGACTGGGGTTACGGCATCATAATAATAACGGCCGTCAGTGAAGTTATTTATGGATTGCTTCCTAACAGGCTCTGTGCTGTTAAAGAACAGGAACTGTGACCTGTTTTGTCTTATATTGATTTGTAAAAAGATTCTTTTGAAACTGTTGGTGCTTTCCATGTTGGGTTAAAATTAATGCAATACAGTAGTTCAAACACTCTTTAGAACACATAGAACAGTGGTAAAGCTTGCTTCCTGACCTTTAACCTAGTCACCACAAAGTAAGGCAAGACATCTTCAGATTAAACAGGGAAGCCTAAAATATATAAGCAGTACTACCACCTAGCGGCAAAATAAGATACTGTTGTTGGCTACATGACATCACTATAAAAACATAAAGGTACTGTGGGATAGCAAAGGAGAATGTATATTAAGAATTAGGGATATGAACAGACCACATATCTGAGGGTGCTGAGGAAATACTTCAAGTTTAGTTACAAGTGTGTGAGTGTGCTGTGTTGAGAGCCCCTCTTTAAATACACCTACTAAAAGACTGCAGAAGAAGCACAGTGTCACAGGAAGAAGAGCAAGCTGAGATTACTGCTGTCTTTCCTCTCTGGGGACATAAGTGCAAGCCAAGCTTTCTCCTGGGCACAAGCTGACAGCTTTAGCAGGGGAGCACACATGAAGGCAGGTGAGAAGAGCTCCAGCCCATGGCAGCCTTTGCTGTGGATGCTGAGTCGGGAGGAGTGGGGGGTGGGGTGGGTGGAGATAGAAGGCATAATATTAGCTTGTAGGACTTGCTACAGAGAGAGTAACTTTAGTTTCATAAAGTATTTGCCAGGATTTGAATTTATTGGACCAGATTAAAAACATCAACTACAAGAGATGGATTTTTTTAATGCTAAAGAGATAAGAACCAGAAAATCATGCAGAGTTGGGAAGCCGTAGTGAGATGTTTAAGGGATGCATCTGCTGTGCCAGGCGTGGTTCCCAACCACGTGTCAGATCTGGAGTTGTATAGAGTAGGGGGTTGAAGGCTGAAGAAACAGACACCCATGATTTCAATCCAAATAAAAAAGACATACTCAAGACACCAAATAGATTGAAATGACCTGCAAACTAAATTAGGTTCAAACCATTCACTGCATCTGGTGGGATGGGAGAGGACAGCCCCAGCAGAGGTTAATCTATAAAAAGAATACACTCATCTTAAGTCTTTCTTGTTCTTATAGACACACCATTGGCATATTGTCAAGTTTTAAGAAATAAGAAAATGGTAATCAAGAAAACAGAAAGTAGGAGGTAATGCAGAAGTTGGAGTTAGTCAAAGATTCTTGACATAAATCGAATGTAATGAAAAAAATGAAAACTTATAAAGTGCCAGAAATGCTATAAATTTTTGACCGGTAATTGTATCCACAATAAAAAGTGTTCTGACTCTCAGGAACCAAACACTTCCCAGAAGATCTCACCTGCTGGGCTCTTCTTAATTACCACAAATTTCTCAGCCCCAGCTAAACAGCCTCAAGTATCCCAGCAAAGCAGTTTCAGGTATCCTGTTTATCACAGCTGATTCTTCAGCCCCAGCTAACAAGGCCACAGAATTCAAAATAACAAATGACTGTGATTGACTCTTTTAACTTCCCTCTGAAACTTCACAAGCTGGGCTTCTGTACTGCCCTCAACATTCTTATTTTCCTTCTACAGACTAGCTCACCAAACTTTTCTAACTCACTCACTTTTCTAACCCAGAGTTCCAAAGTCCTTCCACGGTCCTCACCCAAAACATGGTCAGATATGTCACAGAAATATCCCATTATCCTGGTACTGACTTGTCTCAGGGTTACACCACAATCAAAGCAACTTGGGGAGGAAAGGATTTATTTGGCTTACACTTCCACATCTCAGTTTATCATCAAAGGAAGTCAGGGCAGGAACCTGAAGACAGGAGCTGATGCTGAAACTATGAGAGTGCTGCTTGCTTGCTTGCTCCTCGTGGCTTGGTGATCAATCCCACTTTCTTATAGAACCCAGGACCAACTGCCCAGGGATGGTGCCCCCCGTCATGGGCTCAGCCCTCCTCTATCATCACTAATTAAGGAAATGCCCAATAGGCCTGCCTATAGCCTGATCCTATGGAGGCTTTTTTTCTCAATTGAAGCTCCCTCCTCTCTGATGACTGTAGCTTGTGCAAGTTGCATAAAACTAGCCAGTACAGGCTTCATCAGAATTAAAAATTTATATCTTCAGTATAATTATATACTGATAATTATATCTTATTAAGGCTTCAATAAGAAAATGAAAAACAGGCCATTATCAACTAAAGAAAATCATTTACCACACTGCACATATATTTGACAAAAGAACTTGTTTCAAAATATATAAGGTACTTCTCTTATAAGCAGTAAGATCTAGTTTGGGGAGCTGGGAAGATGGTCAGTTGGTGAGGTTGCAGCACTGGTGGCACAAGCAGGGTGACCCACCCCTCAAAGGAACTTCTGTGCTCCTGGCATCTGTAGTCCCAGCACTCCTAAAGTAAGAGGAGAGCAAAGACGGGAGAATCCATTTCCCTAAAGCTCAAGGCCTCCTTGGCCTGGAGTGTCTGGCTCAGCAGCAGCAGAAAGGAGAGTTGCCATTGCCTCAATAAGATGGAAGAGAACTGATCTCCAAAAGTTTCCTAATCCCCTCAAGTTTCACACACACACACACACACACACACACACACACACACACACACGAGTAGACAGATAATGGGTTTAAATATCCAGTGTTTTGCAACATGAATTAAGAAGACAGTTCAAGAAGGAAGATAAGTGGCCAGGTACACTAATAGAAAGTAATTGGGTGTCACCTGTCATTGGGGAAATAAAAGGATCATCTTACACCTACTCAAATGACTAAGATTTAAAAGACTGCTTCACGTAAATTGGAATATTGAAGTGCTCACACACTGCTGGCGGGCCTATTTTAAACACACACAACAACAACAGTTTCTTCTCAAGGTAAATCCTGTGATTCAGCATTTGAGCTTGAAATCACCCCAAGAAAAATAAGTGCTTATATACGAGACACTTGTCCAGAGTGACCATACTAGCAGTCTTCACAGTGACCTTTAGACGGGGCTGTCCAGAGTCAGGAGTGTGTTCATCTAGTAGATTTTATACTTCACCAAAGGAGTAATCTAGAAGCATGTTACAGGTGATGTGTGAAGGTAGAAAGCAGACTCAAAGGGCTGTGTACTGTCAGTTGCAGCGTGGTGGCTGTTCCTGGGGGCTGAGGACACACTGGTGAGAACTTGAGGCCACCAAAGCTGGAAAGGTTAAGCCATCAAGGACTAAAGATCTGTACCTGTATACATTGAGCCTCACAATAGAAATACAACTGGGGTTATTTTTGTTAGGGAGTAGGCATAGCATATCATTGCAAGCTGTAAGTAGGATAAATCATGCGAAAATGTTGTCATGTAAGGTAGAGTAACGGGATCGGAGTGAGGTGGCACGTCCAGCTTTGCTTAGTGAAGTTCATAAGTCAAAGCACTTAACAAAGATAACATAAAAGATGAATTGGCACAAGCTGATACTTTTTAGAATTGCTACTCATAAAACCCTTTAAAATTTTATCCTTAAATTTTGTTTTGATTACATTGCTGCTTTTATCAATATATTTCTAACAGATGTGTAGAGACTTTGGTATCAACCCTGAGAATTAAACCTATGGTGACACACATGCTCTACAAAAAGTGTTCTACTGCTAAATTGTACCCAGCACAGAGACTTTCTGTTCACAGTTATTTACCTGCTGTATGCATGCATGTATGTGTGTGTATGTTGTTCTTATGGAAACCAGAGGACAAATTGTGGGAGTCAATTTTTTTCTGCCATGTGGGTTCCATGATTCAAACTCAGATTGTAAGTCTTACCTCAGAGGCTTAAAAAAGTAGTTTTATTACAAGTTGTGAATTTAACCACGTTTAAGATTAGGAAATGCAAGCAATACCAGAATAATTGAGTTTGTACAGGGATTTGGGGAGGCCTGTGTGTCCTAGATAAGCACTCTACCGCCGAGCTTTCCATCCAGCTCGTCCACTGATTGTATTTGTAATTCCATCACCGAGGTGAAGGAAGCTTTTTCTTGTCATTCTATACAAACGTGTTCAATGCTATCTTTTTTTTTTTGCATACTTTGTTTTTCTGTATGACGTGCTGTGGTCATCTTGTCATAGGATGATAAGGTTGTTAAAAGACTGCTACAGGTGGTCACATGGATGGAAGGAGATTAGAACCCTGGGGGAAGTCACAGGCAGTCTGCAGTGATAGTTTCAAACTAGGAAAGAGGTGAGGTGGCCTGCAGGTGACAGCTGACCATTGAGTATGCTCTGCACCCACGTAAGGGAGGTGTCCCCATATGAATATGGTCTCATTCTCACAGTACGGATACTGTCTTGAGATGGTTTCCAAATGAACGTCATTCACCTTCACGTCCCCACACCTCCCTACCTTAAGACTTAAGAACACAGCGTGTTCTGTTTGACAGCCCTGGCTCATTTGTTGTAAGAGCTTCAAGGCGGAGCCATGAAGTTGCCCCTCCTACTTTGGCTCACTTTGCGGCGGATCATTTCCCCACACAGTAATGCTGCCTTTAGTTTTAGGGTGGCAGATATTCGGTACATTTTCAAAATCAAATTGGCCAAAGGACGTGCTGGAAGCTAGGGTGACATGCTTCAATATACAGGAACTATAAGTAAGTTACTAAGGAATACGAATAAAAGACAAGGTTTACAGATAATTGGACAGAAAAAAATAGATTGAAAATGACTTTCAAACTTATAAAAATTTATGAAGTAAATTTATGTGAGAAGGAAGACAATGGCATCAAGGTCAAGAGGCAGCTAGCACGTGGGTGTCTGCCAAGTGTAAGTCGGTGCTCTAGTGGGCTGCTCAGGTGTGCTGTGGACTTGGGCAGTAAGCTGCTAAACAGCAGGCTCATGTCCTGGTCATGCAGATACAGGCCCAAGCGGTACAACTTCTAAAGTCATTTTTTACAGCTTAAGCAAGTCTGTAGGTGTCAGCTGATTCAAAAGAATAATTCCACTTTTCATAAAAGTTAACAGATGTGTTTTATTAGCCTATACTGTGCAGTCTTTGTTTCATTAAATCTTTTCAAGTATGCAGATAGTGCAGTTTGATCATAATACCCCATACCTTCCTTTTAAATGTGCCATGAAGTGTCTTGTGTGGAGACGCCTCGTTATCCCAACTATCACAAAATGCCACTATTATTGTTATTGGGATAGAACAGTGAATAATGGTAATATATTCAATATACACTATAGCTTATGGTATGTTGTCACCCTGAACTGAAGTAGCTTTCTCCGTGGTCATATCTAAATGCCAAGAAATACAGATTCATGTCTTGAAGGAGTTACTTAGAATTTCTTGTTAATGTGCTGTGCTCTTTTCAATAGGAAGTACTTAAACAGCTACAGGGAAGTATTGAAGATGAAACTATGACTTCTTCTGGACAGATTGACTTACTAGAGCGTCTTAAAGGTACATTTTTTTAAGTCTTTTAAAAATACTGTTTTAGATTCAACATGACAACTGATTGAAGTTCAACTGCTCTCAGTTTGGACACTGGGCTCAGCTTCCTCCTCCCACTTCCACATTTGGTCATAGCTCTTGAATACAAATAGATAGAACGTCTGTTTACCCGTTGTTTTAAATGTACAATTTTAAGTTTTCATCTTGGAAATTCTGAGCTACTTTTTAAATTCATTGCATTCGACCAGTCACTAAATATGCTTCAATATGCCATGCCTCACAAGACTCCCTTGGCAGGTAGATTCAAGGGGTATTGTCTTTTGTGTTCCATCTGCGATGGAGGTAATAGCTTTTCCTGTGCTGTTTCTAATAGGATCTGTTTTAAAATGTCTTTTTCACTTTGTTGCCTAGAAATTTTAGTGTCAGAGAGAGACCCTGCTTAGTAATAATTGAAACTAGACTAATTGCTTTTTGAGTCCCTAAATATTATCACAGGGAATCTAAGGATGGACATTTTGTGTAATTCCCATTAACATACTTGTTTTCTTCATGACTCAAGCTGATTTTGCAAGAGAAATTATGACTATTCCAAATAATTATTTATTCAGCCATGTAAATTTGTAGTTAAAATATAAACCTGAACTTCTTTTAAAATAATGTAGTAGCTTTAGGAATATTTTACATGCCATAAAGCAGTTACTACATAAGACTTTGTCTCTGCTTAGAATTTAACTTAGATAGCAATTTCCCTGGAGTGAAACTGCGCTCAAAAATGTCCCTTCGCTCCTATGGGAGTCGGGAAGGGTCAGTGTCCAGCCGTTCCGGAGAGTGCAGTCCTGTTCCCATGGGGTCCTTCCCAAGAAGAGCGTTTGTAAATGGAAGCAGAGAAAGTACTGGATATTTGGAAGAGCTTGAAAAAGAAAGGTAACATTTGTTCCTATGTAGTAGGTACGGCATGTGCATGGAAGTGCCTTCACGTTTCTGTAATGTAAGATACATAGGACGGACTGACGGCAAGTTCCTTTTATCTCAGCTTCTCTGATACTTAAGTGGCAAATGCTCTTGGCTCCTGTTTGGCATCGTTTATCTCTTGCCAGATTCTACCCATTTATTTTCTTACAATTAAGGTTGCTTGTCTTTGAGATTATTTCTGAGGAAAGGTGATCTCAGCAAGAAATGCAACCTTCTACATACATTGTACTCATTATGAGTATTTCTCAAGGAAACACCAGACAGAATTTAAAATATAATCAGAGTGGGAAGCATCTTCACATGTGGCCAAATTCCAGATCCCATAATAGAAAACATTCTAAGATCTGACTACATGGAAATCCAAATTTTCCAAATAACAAAACTATTATAAATGATAAATTGAAAAAAATGCATATGCAACCTAGTGACTAAGTACTGCCTTTCCCAGTATAGAAGTCCTCTAAATGAGAAGCAAAGTTACAGAAATGGGAGGTTTGCAAACTCAGAAAAATAGTCTCGTGTACATTAAGATAAATCAGTTAAAATCATGGTGATATCCTGGAGGTTTATAATTTCAGATATGTAAGATATTAAAAGTTGTGTTGTAGCTGGGCATAGTGGCACACGCCTTTAATCCCAGTATTTGGAAGGCCCAGGCAGGAAGAGCTCTTTGAGTTCTAGGGCAATCTAGGCAGTTGTACAGAAACACCCTGTCTTGAAAAGCCAAACCAAACAAAACAAAACACATACATGCACACATATACACACACAGAGTTGTGTCATACACTTAAATTCATGAAAATTGTGTGTTATAAGTTGATATAACACCTTACTGGAACGGTAAGTTAAAATGCATGTGCTCTCAGAATTTATCATGGAATGAAGTACTTTATTATTATTTCATAAAGACAGCCATGTAATATTTATGTTAATAAAAAAATATTTAAAAGACACTAAGTGCTCCCCAGCAAAGAACTGGCTGACCATAGTATGCCTCCTTTATGGGTTCATCAATATTGTTAGATACATGGGATATTAGGCAGCTATCAAGAAATACATAGTAGGTCTTTGGTTCTCACGTGGAATGACCCCCTTCAAGGTAAATTTCTTAAGTGAAAAATGTATAGGGCAACATATGCTAATAATAGAATATTTATATTTTAAGCATACATGTAATTATGCATATTATTCTGTGCATCTTTATAGAAAACCTCTGGAAACAGCAAGAAAATTATAACTTACATTGCTTTGGGAAAAGAACCATACAAAACAATAAGGAGCTTGTTCCTTTGTAATCCTCTTGTGTTTTATCTTAGTAACAGTATTTTGTTTGTATTTATAATGGTAAGGTATATGGTGGGGCTGGTTTTTCAGGAATTACATAAATTCATCTTGAGATTCCAAGCTAAGTTCCTCGACTGCAGAGCAGCTTTCTCTGACTGCAGGTGGGATAGGTCTGTTCACAGTGCTGTTGCTCAGCAGCTGACATCTTGCTTTTCCCAGCGTCATTGCTGCTGGCCTAACTCCTTTAGTGTAGTGTTTGTTCTTCCACTGGCTTTGAACTTGGTGCTGTCCACACCCTTCACTTACCTCTTAGACTGTATGAAAGAAAGCCCTCGGATGAAGCTTGTTACTGGTCAGGTTGAGAACCGTCTTACTCAGGGAAGGAACTCACTTGGTACTCAGACGTCAGTATGTTACTAAGTCCTACTACACTGTCCGAGTCAGATTTTCACTAGTTCACTATCGTTTTACAGTGACAGCTGGAGAGTTATTCTTAGGCAGTATGCAGTAGCTTGTATAAATTTACCTTTCTTTTAAACACAGATCATTACTCCTTGCTGATCTTGACAAAGAAGAAAAGGAAAAAGACTGGTATTATGCTCAACTTCAGAACCTCACGAAAAGAATAGATAGTCTGCCTTTAACTGAAAATGTAAGTACCTGGGCAGCACAGCTAGATTGAATAACTTGATCTTTTAAAATTCTCAGATTATATATGAAGAATTTGAGATAACTGCATATCTAATGATTTATAAATTATAATATGTCTTAATTAGCTATTAACCTAAGTATACAATGGTTAATAAGCATTTCTTGTTTTTGTGGGGTTTGGTTCTGGTTTTGACACAGGGTATCCTGTAGCCTGGGCTGACTTCAGACTCGCTGTATAGCTGCTGGGAGTGCAGGCCTGTCTCACCATGCTGGCTTGTTGATAGCTTTTAATAGAAGACAGATGTTTACTGTGTACCAACAGATATGTATTTTAATTCCTTGAGTTTGGATCCAGATTCTACTAGATAACTGTATGTTTAATTGGTAGAAACATTAAACCATCTGCTTGGGTTTTTCTGTACAATACAGGAATCCTGCCAGATAATTTTTACAACTAAACTATCCTTGAAGACAATTTGAACCTTACTCTGTTTAGGTGCAAGTACCAATAGCTATCTATAGTCATGGATCTTCTGTTCTGTGAATTCTAGACTCCCTTTAGCAAATACTCCTATGTTTAAAATTTTGAAAACGGAGGTCAGTGAGATGGCTCAGCCTGAGTTCAGTCCCAGGAATTCACCTGGTGGTAGGAGAAAACTAACTTCTATAAACGGTCTCCTGGCTTCCACATTCCTGCTGTGCCATGCACATGCATTTGTGCACACACATGCATACACACAAACAAACAAATAGTTAAAAATAATCCTGCAGACTTGTCTCTCGCTGTGTTAACTTTTACTCGTGGGATAACCTATATTGAGGATGTTTCTCAAAGTCGGGGTGCACCTTTATTTCCCAACATGCAAATAGCTCTGGGTCAACCCCAGGCACGTCATAAACTGGGTACAGTAATACATGCCTGTAATGACTGTGGCCAGCACAGCTCCAGAGATGGGCCTGACTGAGGCAGTGGGGGAAATGAAGAAAAGACAAGCACACATGAACACACAGAAACAGTGAACTAGGTTCTCTGATGGAGAAGCAGCACCCTGGAAGCTCAGCATATTTATTATATAATGTTAAACAAGGAGGTGAGGTTATTGCAGATTTAGTAGGAGCAGTTTCTATAGGGGAGCTTCAAGCCATAAATAAACATCCAAAAGGAGAGCGTTATGGTGGGCATTCAGACTAGGGGGGAAGGCTTTGCCATTTCCCATGGGTCTGGGGCTATGGAGTTTTTGACATAGCCTTGCCCATGTTAACAATACAGATTTGCTCAGAACTTCACATCCTCGGGCCTCTCTCTGTTCCCCACATGTAATCTTAACTCTCAGAGATTTGAGGCAGCCGTGTCAGAAATGCAAAGAGCTAGAGAGTTCAGCAGTTAGGAACACCACTGCTTCTGTAGGACCTGGTCTTGCTTCCCAGCACCCACGTGGAAATTAGCACCCTCATGACACCCTCTTCTGGCCTTTGTGGGCACTAAACACACACATGGTGTACATGTATACATGCAGACAAAATACTCATACACGTAAATTAAAAATAATAACTCTTTAAAATAGACTGAAGGTCACCTATATAGTGACCTACAGTCAGCTATATAATAATTTGAGGCCAGTTTGGGGATATATGAAGTCCTGTTCAAAAAGAAAAGAAAAAAGAAAGCTTCTGAAATACATTAAGAATCTCAAGACTGTATCTTTCATCAATATTTTATGTGATATTTAAAAAGGGGAAATGAGTCAGGTATGTGGCTCATGCTCATAACCACAGTATTCCAGAATGCTGACCTTGAGGGTGTTTGTGAAGCCAAAGCCTGGGCTGCAGTAAGACACTGCCCCAGTCTAGCCTGTGCTCTCAGCTTCGGCTCTCTCTTCCTCATAGTAGTATTGAGAGAACACAGTAGACAGAAAGCAAAAATAGAAGAAAAGCCTTCCAGAATATAGCTAACTGGGTTTCCTGAATTTGCTAGTTAGAACTCCAGGCTTGAAGGGTTCACTCTCCTAGAGCAGTCGGGAGTCTTGGGAGGGAGAAGGACCCCTCTTCCTGCAGTACCCTTCAGATTCTCCCTGCCCACTAAGACATCATACACAGGGAAAGACGGCTGCTGGGGAGTTTATGATGAATGAAGATTAAGAGATCCAGAAGGATTGATGAGATTTTCAATTTTTTTTTTTAATCATTGACTATGATTGGAAAATGTACAAAATCCAGAGCCCTGTTGTCTCCATGAAATCAGGGTCAAAAAAGGACTTTGGTATATTTTACAACTCAAGAGCTGTGGGTTACTATCATAAGTAAAGATTGACTGTCAAATTCCTTAAGTAATCATGTTTGATAGAATATACCAGAATATGCAGTCATTGTGGGCTATTAATAGCATTAGTAAATTTAAACTTGCTTATATTTTATAATCATTTACTATAGTCTACTTTGGGAAAACAAGTGAACAAACTTTATTTCCACTTGTCCCGTGTGGAAATATTGACCTATTTATCAAAATACCGCACCACTTACTGTTAGAAATATTTTCTAACACGAGCTCTCTGTCGACGCAAAAATCCCAATCATGCCAAATCAAAACAAACGAAATTAAAAGATATCCATGTTTAATAGGACTTCTCTGCTCTCGGGTGGCCCCAAGGGTGTTTTTCGGGCTACCTTGACCCTTCTTGGGGAGGTGGCAAGGGGCACAGGGGCGGGGCCTCCAAAGATGGAGGCCAAAGACTGGGATTTATACTTACCAACTCAAAACCATATTATCATGACACGCTCTGTCCCTTTTAGCATGTTGGGAAGTGGAGGACAATTGAGAGAAATAAGAATATAGACTCAGAGAGAGTAAGAAATGGCATTCAGTGGGGCGTAGTGGTGCTTCCCTTGAGTCTCAAAAGCCCAGACAGAGGAGGCAGGTTTCTGTAATTTCAAGTCCCGCCTGGTCTATATAGTGGCTTCAGGCCAGCCAAGGCTACATAGTGAGACCCTGTCTCTAAATAAATAAATAACGTGCAGACCATTTGACGTGCCTGCAAGAATGCATTCTGCACATGAGTGTTTTGTTTGAGGGCAACTTAAAAAGACATCAGTCTGGAGCTGTTGAGCACTCACGGCAGGAGCAGTTCCCTCTCACAGCCTTGCTTCATTCTCCCATGGCTCCTACTGTCTCTGCTGACTGCTCTGCTCTCACTCCATAGTCTGCCCTTTTTATGCCTTTGTACACCTGGCAGTTATCCCAGTGTGAGGACCAATGGAGGGTTAACACCACTTTGTGAAGTACTGCCAAAGTCAGTGTTTATTTTGTCGGGCTCTTAGTATTTATTTTAGATATAGGCTTTTTTTTTTCTTACTCCATTTTCTTCATTCTAAAAATGGAGTTTTTATTCTCTATTTAGCCTGTACACATAAGGCAGTTAATACTTATCTTAAAACTAAAACATTAAGAGTAATGAATGCCTGCTTTTGAGTCTCCCCCAATACTAATATACTAGTTTTTGTTTTGTTTTATTTTGTTTTTTGTCTGAGACAGAGTTTCTTGTAATCCAGTTCTCTTGTGCAGTTAGGGATGATCTTGAACCTCTGATCTTCTTTGCCTCCACTTGCTGAGGGCTGGGATTCCAGGTCTGTGCCATCACACCTGGGTTTATGTGGCATGTTAGGTGGGTATTCTGCTAACTGAGCTACATCTTCTGTCGAGAATAGTAGTTTTAAGAGTTAAAAGCAGTTCCTCAGGGCTGTGCAGTGTAGTTCAGCAGTACTGTGCCTGCCTATGCATAAGGGTCTAGTTGACCCCTAGCATCACGAAAATCAACTAATCAGGTGCCTCTTCAGCAGGAAAAAATCATAAGGGTCCACTTTAATTGGACCAATTACATATTTTCAACAAAACAGTCTTAAGTTAATCATTTTTTATTGTAACATGAGGGCCGGCTTGTTGGGGTTTCTGTCCCGCCTGGCACCCCAACAAGTCGGCAAACCCCAAAGAAGATCACACACAAAGTCTACATTAGGTTATGAACTGATTGGCCCATTAGGTCAGGCTTTTTATTAGTCCTTGTAACTTATATTAGTCCATTATCATTACCTATGTTAGCCACACGGCTCAGTACCTTTCTCAGTGTGACAGATCACATGTTACCTCTTCAGTGGTCTGGGCAGGAATGGCAGAGGAAGCTTCCTGCTTCCCAGAATTTTCCTGTTCTCATTGCATCACCTCTACTTCCTGTCTGGTTTTCCCGCCTATACTTCCTGCCTGGCCAATCAGTGTTTTATTAAAATACATGATTGACAGAATACAGATAATTCTCCCACATCATTTTATTTTGAGGCAGCTCAGAATCTTTGTTAGGAATGCCAGTTACTCCTGATGCCCATACACAGGTTTTAGGATTCCTTGGAGAAAAAAAATAGATTTCTCAAGTATGGTGACTTACATAGTTATTTACTCAATTTTTCAGTTGACATTTGTGTGTTTTTTGGTTTTACTAATAGGTAGTGAGAAATTAATATGTTATTTGTGGCTTCAGTTTTCCCTACAAACAGATATGACAAGAAGGCAATTGGAATATGAAGCAAGGCAGATAAGGGCTGCAATGGAGGAGCAGCTTGGCACCTGCCAGGACATGGAAAAGCGAGCACAGGTGAATGGCGTCTTCCCACACTGCACACCTCACAACTCTGATGATGTTCTTTATTGCAGCTAGGGTGTAGTTCAGTGGTGGAGCACTTGCCTCTCACGTACAAGGCCTTCAGTCCATCCTCCAGCACCATCAAGGAAAGCACTTCAGAGCCTGTCTCATGTCGGCACTGTTTACAGGGTGACAGTTTCTCGTGACTGTTGGCCATGGTCACCAGTATTGACATCACTCTGCCTCTGCTGTGTTTCTGCAGTCACAGGGAAGGTGCTCATTTCCTGGCAGCCAATGACTAGTTTCAGCTGCTTTGAGATTGTTACTTTTGTAATCTAAGTTTGTATGGTAACATTCAGAAGTTTTCCAGAAATTAAAAATAGAAGCAGCAGCAGTCCATGTTTGAGAAAGAAGGGCGTGAAGAAGCCCTAAGGGAAGGTGGCCTGAGGGATGAGGATGAGAATAAACCACACAAAGGTCAGAAGAACGTGCCTGATTTTACTGTTGAGCACTTGTGTGTGCACACAAATGTGTGATGGCCTGGTGGTCTAGGCCTGTAAGACCATCCACACTGCCCGTCATCCCCCCCACCCCCGCCCTGCCCCACCTGCTCCAAAGTGAAAATGGGTAAGTTTTTATTTTTGCTTTTCTAAAAATCTTTTAAGACATATTGAGAGAACATTCAAAGATTATATTTAAATAGCAACTAATAGGACAAATTAATATTTGTATAGTGGTATAAATTCATACTTTTATTCTATAAAGTTGATTTTGTCTTTAAGTTTTTTCATACAGCATATTTTGGTCATATCCTTCCCCCTCCTTCAGTTTCTCCAAGATCCACTTCATATTCTCTCTCTTAAAAGAAAAATAAAACCAAAAAATGGAGGAAGAAAGAAACCAAAATACATGGATCCCATTTTGCATTGTCTAACTAGTTATTCCTGAGCAAGTGGTCAGCCCTGGGATGTGACTGATGGACCCAGTGTCTCTCTGTTAAGAAAACTGGTCAGCCCTCTCCCAACAGCTGCTATTACAAATAAATTCTTGGTTAGGAGTGGGATTTATGTTAGAATACGATTCTGTCCGAGGTAATAGTTAACACCTATAACATGACACATTTTATAGTTGGGGAGATAACTAAAGTTGATGTGCACATGCATATGTATGTATGTATTTGTGTTTCTATTAGTTATCAGATTACAGTTAGTATATATAGTTCTTGCCTTCCTGCCCACATTGCATTCAGATAGATTAGTTATTTAAATGTCAAAAGTAAAGCTTTTATTTTTTGGTTGAAAATATGCATAAACATGTCTCTGATACTGCATAGAAAAGAATTTCTTAAACAAGATGAGATTATAAAATATAAGGCTGATGAAATTTTACTGATTCAAATTAAGAATTTGTCTTCATCAGGAATAATCAGGATAATGACAAGCGTGTCTGGGTTATAAATCCACAGAGCCTGGACTAACCTGACTATAACCCAGCATTCAGGAGGCTGAGCAGGAAGTCGAGTTGGAGGCCAACCTGAGCTCCATACTGAATGAACCCTGTCTCAAAAAGGGGCTCAGATGTGAACAGCTCTACCTTAAAAGAAATTTGTTGGTTACTAGTTGTGAAAAATGCTAGCACTTAGGCTTAATGGAAAAAAGCTAAAGTTAATAGAAGAAAATGTAAAACATTTGAGGCCTTAAGAATGAAAACTTGGGCTGGAGAGATGGCTCAGTGGTTAAGTGCACTGCCTACTCATCTAAAGGCCCTGAGTTCAATTCCCAGCAACCACGTGGTGACTCACAATCATCTGTGATGAGATCTGGTGCCCTCTTCTGGGACACATGCATGTAAGCAGAAGACTATATAAAAAATAAATAAATAAATCTTTAAAAAAAAAAAAGAATGAAAACTCTCCAGGCAGTTGTGGCGCACACCTTTAATCCCAACATGGGGGAGGCAGAGGCAGGTGGATCTCTGTGAGTTCGAGGACAGCCTGGTCTACAGAGTGAGTTCCAGGACAGCCAGAGCTATACAGAGAAATCCTGTCGGGGTTGGGGGGGATGGAAACCTAAAAGTAATAAAGATTATTTTCATTAAATTTTAAAACACCTGTCCTATAAGAATAGAAAGGGAAAATATTTTCAATAGTATAAAGAAATCTAATTAATATCCCTAAAATATGAGAATCCTGAGGATTAATTTGAAGACAGCTCTTGTTTTTAAATGGACAGAGGATTGGCCAACAGTATGTTTAAAGGGCGGAAAAGTCCAGTACAACATGTAGAAATAACTGTTAAATAATTCAGGGAAATTCAAAGCAAAACCCATTCCTGCCCTGCCTTTGTGAAATCTTCTGTTATCAATTTGTTATTTACTTACAGTTGTTTTATCAGTGACATCTGGTCCCGTAGCATGCTAGCAAAGACTGGAATGGTGCCCACTGGGTTGTACTAGAGCCTGCTTCTAGCCTGGTATGACGCATGCCTTTAATCCCAGCAACCACAGATAATATATAACTGAGCATACTGTGTTTCAGTGGTTTCTTCACTGTGAAGGCAAGACTTGTACCATTGTTGTGGTCCTTGTAAATAAAATAAAAGCAATGTTCCCTTGGAAAGCAGAGGCCAAAGGAACACATTTCAAGGCCACCCTCAACCACACACCCTCTAGGCTAAGTGGGCTAACTAAGGAGACCCTGTGCCCAAACAAAAGGAATGTTTAATTGCAGTAGGTACTTTAGGAAATTCTAAAAATATTGAATTATAACAGGAGTAAATTTGAGGTATGTTCTGCTGTTAAATAAACCCTGATATAAAACAATATTGTTTTTCTTTACAGCTATGTTGTGTTTTATATAAACTTGTTACCAGTACACATGTCAGGCAGCTCCACAGGTACCCATACATACATGTGCACACAGACACATAAAAATAAATGACTATCTGATTTATTCTCTTCTTTTATTTTAGCGAAGAATAGCCAGAATTCAGCAAATAGAAAAGGACATACTTCGTGTACGACAGCTTTTACAGTCCCAAGCAGCTGAAGCAGAGGTTAGTAAACTGCCCTTTGTTCATGTGTTGATGTCTATAGCTCTTCCCAGAAAAGAAACACATGTAATTAACATAACATGATTGAGAAATGGACCTTTTAGAAAGAGACTTTTTTTAAAAGGTTCATTTATTGTTTATGTGTGTTGATGTTTTGCCTATATATCTGTCTATGTGAGGATGCCAGGTACCCTTGAACTGGAGTTACAGACAGTTGTAAGCTGCCATGTGGGTGCTGAGAGATGAACCCAGGGTTCTCTGGAAGAGCAGCCAATGCTTTTAACTGCTGAGCCATCTCTCCAACTCGGAAACCTTTCAGCAGTTAAAATTTAGTCACTTTAGCGTCGGCTGTCGATTTCTAGAATGAAATCACCATCTTGGGCTATAATTACCCTGTAAGTGGGCTTTTTCTTATATATAATTCCTAGTTTGAAAAAATTGATCAAACATTATTGCTTGTGGTTATCCCACAATCCTTATAGAAATGGTAGTAAAAACATTCAATGAAACAGTCAGAAACACCAGGGGAAGTGACAGGAGTGAAGTGGAGGCTTTGGCAGAGTTGCCCAGACCTAACTAGTAGAGTCATGACAGCATGTATCATGGAGTCCTAAAGGGTTCTAAGACCGGCTGTTCAGGTCAGCTGTAAATGTAAGTATTAAAGGGGCTGAAATGAGGTTAGTTGAAGAGCTGTTTAGAAGCAGGTAAGGGGGATGGAGAGATGGCTCAGCAGTTAGAGTACTGGCTGCTTTTCCAGAATAACCAGATCAGATTCCCAGCACCTGGCCTAGTAGCTCACAACCATCTATAACTCCAATTCTAGGGGATCTGTGCTCTCTCCTGACCTCCATTGGTAGCAGCCTTGTCCATAGTGCACATACATTCTCTTTGTTGGTGGTGTTTGTTTTTGTTGTTTGGTTGGCTTTTTATTTTTTGAATCAGGGTTTCTTTGTGTATCCCTGGTCAACCTGGAACTCACTCTGTAGACCTCTAACTTAGAGGCCAAGTGCAGTGACTGTTGTAAAAGAAGATGTGTTCCCACCACCCGGCTCCCAGCTAGCTTTATACCCGAAATAATTACACGGAAACTGTATTCATTTAAACACTGCCTGGCCCATTAGTTCTAGCCTCTTATTGGCTAACTCTCACATATTGATTCAACCCATTTCTAATAATCTGTATCACCACTTGACTGTGGCTTACCGGCATGAGTCTAACCAGCGTCTGTCTCAGAGAAAAGAGCCATGGCGTCTGCCTGACTCAACTTTCTTTCTCCCAGCATTCTGTTCGCTCTACTTTGCCTATCTAAGCTGCTGTCCTATCAAAAGGCCAAGGCAGTCTCTTTATTTAACCAATGAAAGTAACACATAGACAAAAGACCCTCCTGTACCACAGTGACCACAGAAGGGGCTGTGTTTCTTAGAGCAGCTTGTGTTACTTCCAGAAGCGTGCCGAAAGACAAGGTTGGAGGACAGCAAGAGTTTCATCATTAAGTACATTTTCAGCTAATAATGAATAATTGTAAATTTTTATACAGTATTTTCAGTTTCAGTTACATAGGTTTACTGTAATCTATTCAAAGAGCCTTATCCTTGGGCGGGGGGGGGGACTTCTTTTCTGTTCGGATAGAAAAGGAGAACAGCAAGCAGCTATGTTGAAATATGTAGCAGTTTTGGGGACTCGCTTGCTTTTTAAAACTTTATTTTAGTTGTATGAGTGTTTTTCCTTCATGTATATATGTGCACCATATGGTGAACGTGGCTCACGCCTTTAATCCCAGCATTTGGGTGGCAGAGGAATTGAGTTTCAAGACCAGCCTGGTCAGTCAGCCCCTCTCTCCCAAACAAAAACTCAAAACAGGACAAAGTAGATCAGCTGTTGCCTGGTGTTGTGTGTGATAATATGGACTGAATGTAACTAGGCTGGAGAGAACTTACTGTAATGATAAAAATACTCTACAACTGGGTTTTGGTGATGTTCGGTATATTTCCTGGAAAACATTTTAATTGAACACTTAATGTGTATATTTTGTGGTACTCAACTGCTTAAGCAAAACTGCTTTTGTTTGTTTGCCAGACCAGTGATAGTATCCCGCATTCAGGAGGCAGAGGGATCAGAAGTTCAAGGCCAAGCCTCAGCTACATAGCAAGTTCAAGATTAGCCTAAACTATATGAGCCCTGCCTCAAAAAACACATACTTTCTTCTCAGGCCTATTACCTAGGGCAGGAAACTGTTTCGTTTTACAGAGCCATAGGAATACAGCCTTAGTTGGTTACTAGAAGTCAGCAAGCAACAGCCTCTCTTGTGTGCAGAGAGTGGTAATTGAGGACAGTCATCCAAGAGTACAGGTGTGCTTCAGTCTGGGGACCATGGGGAAGTAAAAGGACGGGGCACAAAGAGAAACTTCTTCATCTGAGCATCAGTCACAGGCAGTCCTTAAGGTTTTTTGTTTTGTTTTGTTTTTCTCTGTATCTTTCTTAGGCCACTGCACCCGATGAAGAGCGGTGTGTGACTCTGTCGACTGGGAGTGGGAATTGCTCTGTGGCCCTTGTAAATTTCCTTCTTTGCAGGCAGCCCTTAAGGCTTTTTTCTCTGTGTCTTTTGTTTCTTAGACAATCTCACTTAATGGTTTAAGACTTTAGATATCATCTTTATGCTGGTCAATTTATTTTTCTTGACCTTAGCTCCAGATTCTTAATTCTTAATTCGTGCTCCTACCATGTATTACCACTTAGGATTTGCCAAAGACTTTAAATCCAACATATCAAAAACCCAATTAACAGTTGAGTTTGGTGGCAAACACCGTTAATCCCAGCACTCAGGAGGCAGAAACTGGCAGATCTGAGTTTGAAGCTAGTCTGGTCTGCCTAGTGAGTTCCAGGCCGGCCAGGGCTGCAGTGAGGCCCTGTGTCACAAAACAGAACAACAGAAGCCCACCTACACCCTGACCAGCCGGCCACCTTCTCCTCATCTATCTCTGGGGACTGTGTGAGCTGAGGAGCATTAGAGTAATACTTCATATCCTCAAGCCGTTGTTGGCTATTTCTACATCACTCTGGCAAAATATCAGAAACAAGGCAAATGAAGAGAAAGAAGTTTGGGGGCATACAGTCTGTCTTGCTGGGTAGGGCTTAGGAGCAAGGGCATGAAGTAATTGGTCTGATTACTTCAGCAGTCAGAAAAAGGAGATGGGAATGCCGGTGCTCTGTGCTTTCTCCTTTCTCCCCTTTTTAGTCAGTCAGAAATCCCAGCTCCTAAATTGTACTGTCTCTTTCAGGGAAGGTCTGTCTCCTGATTGGTTCCACCCTAACCCTCAGATAGTATGGCCACCTCATAACACAAAGTGCATTTAGTCCATCTCTATACGTTCCATAGTCTTATCAGTTCTAACACGGTTCAAAAATCTACTCTCTTTTGAGACTTAGGATACTTCCTTAACTTCATAAAACATAGTAACAATTGTAACATTCTTAACAGGTGACATACAGTGACACAGTAATACAATTGGTGAACTGTAGAAAGCTTATTACAATGATAAAAATATTCTAAAACTGGATTATGGTGCTACTTGGTAAATTTATTGAAAATCATTTAATTGAGCACTTAATGGATACATTTTGTGGCACTTGACTGCTTAAGCAGAATTTATTTATTTATTTATTTATTTATTTAGGCCAAGCTAGTAATGCATTCCTGTTACCCAGCACTCAGAAGGCAGAGGCAGGGGGATCAGTAGTTCAAGGCCAGCCTCAGCTGCATAGCAAACATTCCCATTCCAACAGGAAGGACTGGGAGGATAGCAAGGAAAGATCAAACCAAAGTAAGTGGGAAGCCCAGCATGGCAGATTCCGAATGCTGCCCCGCCTCTCCAGTTCTGCCTCCTGCAGTGCATGCAGCCTCCGTTAGGGTGTTTCTGTTCCACGTGTGCAGCTCTGCTTAGGACATTTTCACAGTCTGCCGTCTCTAGATTACCTTCACAGCCTCACGAAGTGTGCTCTTGGGCCTCCTTGCAGGGACTCTACCTCTGCACATGTCCACAGCAGCTTCCTGGACTCTTGGTCCAAGTTTTCATGAGCTATAAATCTTGAAGTTGCATGTCTGCAAAACCACATGAGCAACACTAACCAGTTGTACTGCCACTGTGAGGGGTAGTCTGGCCAGTTCTTACCTTATCTGGGGTGGCCTCTGTGCCCCTTGGCAGCAGAACTTGAGAAACATTTTCCATGGTAGTTTTCAAGCAAGGTGACATCTCATTTCAGTTTCTCCCTTCCCTATGAGTTTATACTTTTACAGGCTGGAGCCTTCAGTGAGTGGAGTCTTGCCTGTAAAGAGAATGTGAATTTCATAATTGTGCCAGCCTCTAAAATTTTAAACGTTTATCTACACTGATCCTTAATCCAACTTCAGACTCTCTGCCTGCTCCTTCATTTGGCAGATTTCACATTTTTCATAATATTTTTGTTCTCTCTTTCACTGTAAAGTGTAAGTGAAACCATGCCCCAGCCTATATGTTACGCTGTCTTGAAATTTCCTCCACCAAACAACTTAATTCTTTACCCTTGAATTAAGTCTCACTCCATTTTTCAGGATACAGTCAAAAACAGCCTTGTTCTTTGTCAGATGTAAAGCAGCTAGCCTCCAGTCCGGTTCCTTTAGTCTTTGCTCCTCCTGTGAACCCAGAGAGCACAGTTGTCTGCCTTTCTGTCAGTGTTCTGATCTCGGCACTCACACCAGAATACCTCCTTAAGCCCTGCTTAGCAGTGCTTCTCAACCTGTGGGTCACGACCCTTTCACCAGGGTCATCTGAGGCCATTGGAAAAACACAAATATTTATATTAGAATTCAAAACAGTGGAAAGGTTTCAGTTATGAAGTAGCAATGAAAATAATTTTATGGTTGGTGCTCATCACAACGTGAGGAACTGAATTAAAGGTTGAGAACCCTGGTTTATAGAATCCAGGGCTTCTGTGGCCCACAGAACAGTCTAGAGCCTAGCTCCCATGTGGTCCGGGCTCCGACAGCAGCAGCGCTACTCATACCTCTTTCTGTGTAAGCTACCTTTCTCCTTACTGTGAAATTACCTCACAGAGTTAAAGAAGGGGCTTGTTTGGGCTCACAGTTTGAGGGAACACAGCATGTGGTGCCGGGAAGGCATGGATGCAGGATTGTGAGGTGGGAACACCGCTACCCCTGCAGTCAGAGTGCAGGTGAGGGCCAGTGTCTGGCCACTCTTCTTCCTTTACAGTCAGTGTCAGGACCCCAGGGGTGTGATGCCCGCATTCAGGGTGCTCTTTCTTCCTGGTTAAACATCTTTGGAAAGGCCCTCTCACACGTGCCCAAGTGTGTTCCTTCAAGTGAACCAGGATTAACCATCACTCTCATCTAGCACCACATTACCACATCCTGTCAGATTTCTCTCTCTGGCTCAAATTTGCGTCCCGACTACTACTTCCTTTTGTGGAGTATCTCTTTACTAGCGTCACTCTATTAGCCTACTTGTTAATACGTTAGTGTTAGCCGTGTGAGGAGCTAACCTAGCATGTACAGTGCCTGCGTGTCACCCCCAGCACCACATAAAGCCAGGCACAGTGGCACATAACTACTGTCCCAGCACTTTAGAGGTAGAGATATGAGGATCAGAAGAAGTTCAAGGCATCCTCAGCTATATAGCAAGCTTGAGGCCAGCCTGGGTCTCCAGTACATAGGTATAGAAAGTGAAGCCAGTGGTGTGGTAGCCTCACAATAACTTAGAAAACGCAAATACAACAAAATCATTACATTTTTAAACTACCTTTTATAAAAAAAATCTTTTATTTATTTGCTTGTTTGGTTGGTTTTTTGAGATAGGACTTCTCTGTGTAGCCCTATCCTAGAATTATCTTTGTAGACCAGGCTGACCTCAAACTCTAAGAGATCCACTTGTCTCTGCCTCCCGAGTGTCGGGATTAAAGGCGTGCACCACCACCCCCCAGTTTAAATCATTTTATGTGTATGAGTATCTTTGCCTGCTTGTATATCTGTGCACCACATATGTGCCTGATGCCAGTGGAAGCCAGAAGAGGTCATCAGCCCCCTTAGGGTCCACCGTGTGGATGCTGGAACTCTAGCTTGGGTCCTCTGGAAGCCAGTACTCTTAACTACTTTTAATTCTGCTCGCCATTTTACTTGTAGTATTCAACAACATTGTGAACTTTTGATATTTTACAAGAAGTTATACTTCCTCCTGCTCCAACTCCTTTGCATATGGTCCCTGGTTTACCTAGAATGTTCCTTCTCCTTGTCAGCAGTTCTTCATTCCTGTGGCGTATCCTGTGTTCTGTCCTTCACCCACCTCACAGCTCTCCTTCATAGCGCTTGTCAGAGTTCTGACTCTACTGATACTGAGACTAAGCTTAGAAAGAAGATTGAATAGCAGCTAGTTTTAGCAGCACTGTGTCCCTAGCACCTAGGACAAGCAGATAGTAATGTTTTTCTGCAGATACAGTGACATCTTCACTTGTGCTACTGCCATGTCTTTATGGTCTTCATAATCTGTGACTCTTTTTGTCATAGGGTGCCTATATATTTCTACTCTGGTTGATTTTGGTCTTCTGCTTCTGAATTACTAAATCGCTTCCCTTTTGCTTAGCAACAGCTGTTACTAGTTTATGGTGAATGTGCTACATGTAAAGTTATTTTTAAATGATCTAGGAAGGCTTAGGGGTTAAAATTCTAGGCAAGGCATTTTGAAATATAATGATACACTTTTATGTCAGATATCTAAGGCATAATCTTTATATTTCAGTAGCATTTTTCTACAAAGGATAGTGGTAGATTATTTTATTTCTTATATTTTGTGGTACTGTTTTACAAAGTGGCCACATTGTATTACCTGTTCTGAAATAACTACGTTTACTAGGTCGATGTCACTTTTATTTCATACAACAGATGGTGGCTACATTAGCAAAGTTTTCTGTTTTACATATCAATTTTGAAGAGCTTGTCATTTGGTTCCTATGACATTTGCAGATGTGCACATATTCTCTGTAAAAGAAAAAAATGCCTACACAGGAACTATTTGTAAGCTTAGGTGTTAGTTTAACTGCTATATTTGCAGCAGCACCATTAAGTGCCACAATCATGTGACCTTGCAGAAAAGGACAGTTACTGCTCTAGTCGGATTGTGTTCCTGATAGTGAGGAAAGCACATCTGGTGGAGGATGTGTTTCTGTGAGCCTCAGAAAATCCTTTGTCTTATGCAGCTCAAGTGCTCAGGGGAACGCTTCCCTTCCCACTTACCAGGATAGTCGACTGCAAGCCATGCTGGAGGCTGGAAGTGTAGCGTGTGCCTCTGTGCTTTGTCAGCCTGTATAATTGATTCGTTAAGAGATTGGAAGAAAAAGACAAGCTGTGAGCTATAAAAGCGTACTCCATTTTTCTACATAATTTATGCTAACTCCATGTTAACAGAAGTCTTCTCAGAGCAAGCATGAAGCTGCCTCCCATGAAGCTGAACGGCAGCATGACGGTCAAGGGATGCCAGAAAACAACATGGCAACTTCTAGTAGTAGCCAGGTATGAACCATTATGTCATATTTTTGTATTGATTCAGTATTTAAAAAGTGAATGATCCACAAATCCTTCCTGTTTCCTTAGAATGTGTTTCTAGAAACATTCAGTTTCGGAGTACTATCTTTTCTCCTTATTACATTTAAATATACTTTCTGAGTCTGCTGGAATATCTTTATGCTCCAGATCATGTTTCGGCATTGGTCTCCAGTGTCTGGTGTGCATAGTTTTGGAGAGTGTTCAGTTCTGTGTGGTTGACCCTGCTGTTGCTGCATTGGCATGGTTCTGCTTTCCTCTGAGGCTCTCAGTACAAAGACATGTTTCTGGGTTTGTAATGATTGCAAAGGCCCTTATAGTGTTTACTGTCTGATGTACTTCATGATTACACAAATTTAGAAATAAATCTTCACTGGAAAAGATTATTGTGATGCATATAAACAGTAAGCTGTATAGTTCATTTTGCTTAGCTGTTACTGTGTTATATTTTTACCATCTGTACAAATTGTCACCAATTTTCAGTTAGTGCTTATCAAAAATAATATGACAGCTTTTCATTGGTGTGTTCTATATTTCTCAAGTTTTCTTTAAAAGACAGTTTTATGTTGTAAATGAATATTTTAAAATGGAATTTCACCAAATTGACTTTAAGATAATTTTCCTACTATCAACAAAAAAGATTAGTCTTTCTAGGTTACTTCAGATGGTACTATTTATACCAAAAAAAAAAGAGACTATTCTACTAATTCATTAAATAAAGCTTCAGATGTTTCCTGTTTAAAGATATGTCCTTTTACTGAGCTAAAACGGATACTTAATTCCGAATCACTGGTTAGCGCTATACGGGAAAATTATTTGATGGTAAATTAGGGTAAAATAATGAGAGTTAGATAGGAGGATTGAGTTCTTTTTTGAGAACTATGTATTCCCACACTGTGGAAAGATGAAGAGTTCAATTTCATTTGACAGCTGTTCAAACTTCAGTATTACTCATCTGGTGGAAGCTGTCTACTAGTTAGGTCTCTGTGGTACCATAGAAAAACCAACTCTAGGTTGATTATGCTAAATATCAGAAATGGATTCTGTTGCAATATAAAAAATTAATAAAAGGACAGCACTCAGGAGGCAGAAGTAGGCAGATCTCTGTGAGTTCAAGGCCAACCTGGTCTACAAGAGCTAGTTCCAGGACGGGCACCAAAGGTACAGAGAAACTCTGTCTCTAAAAACGGGGAAGGGGGGATAAAAAGGAAAATTTTATGATGAAATAGGTGGGAAAACCACAAAAGAAGGATTAGTAGGTTTCAGAAGAATGTGACTACTTTAGTATTTGGAGAAATCAAAACAGGATTGTTAGACAACAGAAGTCACAATCAGGTGCTGGAGAGATGGCTCAGCAGTTAGCAGCACTGACCAGTTAGTTGCCCAGAGGATCCAAGGTTCAAGTCCTAGAACCCACATGAGGGCTCACTCCATTCCCGGGGGGGGCAGTGTCCTTTTCTGGCTTCCAAGGGCATTAAATACTCATGTAGAACACAGATAGACATACATGCGGACAAAACACCCATGTAGTTGGTTTTGTTTTTGTTTTTATTCTTTGGGGGCCCACTACCCAGCTCCCAAATAAATACATGGAGATGTATTCTTACTTATGAATGCCCAGCCTTAGCTTGGCTAGTTTCTAACCAGATTTCTAACTTAAATGATCCTGTTTTTTTTTTTTTTGGTTTTTTTTTTTTTTTTTTAGCCACATTTTGCCTCTGGGCCTTTTACCTTTCTCTATTTTATAGAACTTTCTGTCCTTTCTCTGTGGCTGGCTGTGTAGCTGTGCGGTGGGGCCCTGGCTCCTTTTCTCGTTTCTCACTCTCTTTCCTAGATTTCCCCTATTTATTGTCTGTCCACCAGTACCACCTATTCCTGTCTCCTATCTAGCTATTGGCTGTTCATCTCGTTATTAGACCAATCAGGTATTTTAGGCAGGCAGAGTAGCACAGCTTCACATAGTTAAACAAATGCAACATAAAAGAATACAATACATTTTTGCATCATTAAACAGATATTCCACAGTGTCAATGAATGTAACTTATTATTCCACAACACACTCATACATGTAAAATGAATTATTTAATTAAAATTTTGACAAGTGAGATTTTTTTTTACTTTTACCTTTCTTATATTGAAATATAATTACATCATTTTCCCCTTCCCTTTCAGTCTCTCCAGTATTCATCTGTCTGTGCCCTCCCCTCAAATTCATGACCTCTTCTTTGTTATTACTGCATGTGTGCATATATATAACACATAAATCTATAGACAGAACCTGCTGAGTCTGTTGCTTGAAGGTACATGACTACAGAGCTGACTGACCACTTGGTATTGGATTACTCGTCCCTGAAGAAGACTAATTCTTTGACTCCCAGCATTTTTAGTTGCCTGTTCTTCTTTGTCTAGGCATGTCCCCTCCCCACCGCACCCACCAGATAGCCCCCCTTCCACAGTAGCATGTCTATTCAGTGTTGTCCTTGTTCAGATCTTGTTTAGGCAGCCATATTGTTGAGCATCATGACTAAAATGTCCCTGTCATTTCTAAGAGACAATCCACAGCAGATTTCCTGGTCCTCTGACTTTTACAATTTTTTGACTCCTCATCTGAGATGTTCCCTGTGCTGTAGGGACAAGAGCTGTGTCATCGATGTTTTTGCCATACAGGTTTTCTCTGCATTTTGACTTTTCTGTGATGGTCTCCATCTATTTCAGAGAGAAACTTTCTTGATGTAAGGGGAGTGACACTGATCTGCAGGTGTGAGGCTAAGTACCAAGAGTGCAGTTAGGAAGTACATTGGCTCAATCAATTATTGATGATGCTCTCCTCTTAGACCCATGATCTCACTTGCCCTGGATAGCGGGCTAGGTTTCCAGTTTCAAGCATGATTTCATTTTCCTCCTGTTAAGCAGGTCTTAAGTCCTATTACTGTTGGTTACCACCAAGCTATGAGTGCCACTCTGCACCCTTAGGGATATCTTGTGTTGTGTTGTGCTGTGTTGTGTTTTGAGACAGGGTTTCTCTGTGTAACTCTGGCTATCCTGAAACTCGCTCTGTAGACCAGGCTGACTTCAGACTCAGAGATTTGCCACCACTTCCTCCTGAGTGCTGGACCTAAAGGTGTGCACCACCACCTGCCAGCTCCCTTACCAATTGCATAACATCTATGAAAGCTAGTCCTCAGCCGGGAACTTGACCTTTAGAAAGTCAAGATGAGCTGGGCAGTGAGTTCCAGGACAGCCAGGGCAATACAGAGAACGCTATCTCAAAAAAAACAAAAAAAAAACCAAACAAACAAATAAACAAAATAAAAAGCCAAGATCATAGTTAGTCATAGTGGCATATTCCTGTAATCCTAGAACTTGGAAGGTAGGAACAGTAAAATCAGGAGTTCATGGCTACCTTTGGCTCCAGAGACAGAGGCCAGTCTGGGTTACAACAGAATCTGTCTCAGAACAACAACAAAAAAAGTAAAGATTATCTTATTTTCAAACATTTATAAAAAGTAAAAAAAATGTAAAAATATATAGATATTTACATCAACTATTTAAAGATGCTTCAGAATGGGCACAGGAAGGCCAGTGAGACAATTCAGTGCGCACATGTGTGTGTGCTCTGCGTAGATGTCCAGGTCAGTGTCAAAGTAGCTATCAACATGTGTTGAGATTTTTGTAGCTTTTGTTTTACTGTTTATACATTTGTATATTTTAACTTTTTAATAAGTGTCAAGTTTTTAAAGTGTATAGCACTATGAAAACAATTTGTTTTTGAGAAAATACTGTGCTGCTTTCCACTTCTGTCGTGTTAGGTGCCCCCAGAGTCTTATTTGAAGCCTCATGTTTCTTAGTTAGTGTGAGAACGGCCAAGGAGTAAATCAGTCATGGTAGCAATTACCAGTAATCCCAACACTATGAAAACTGAGGTAGGATGGCAAGTTAAAGTCCAACCTGGACTACATAGTGAACTCTAGGCCAGCCCGAGCTACATAGCAAGAAACTGTCTCAAAAAAAAAAAAAAAAGAAAAGAAAAAAGTGATAATTCAGGGTTCGGTGTTTATTTCTCCTTCAAATAATAAATTCTTTTGTTTTGTTTTACATGAATTCCACCAACGCTGTTGTTTTAGTTATTATCAGTCGCTGCTCTCAATGTAGATGGGTAGACTATGCCTATGATTTATTTCTCCGGGTGTCTTCAAACATTAGCTTTAGCTATCTGAAAGACTGGTGCTAAATTACCACTGCAGCTTGTCAGCCTAGTGCCTCCAGAGCGCTGAGGTTCATGTGACATCTTGAGGCCTATTAATTTACTTTATTATTTCTTCCAAAAATAAATAGAAAACACTGACTTCCTCTTTCTGCAGTAAATATCCTTCTGTTGCTTCCATGCCCTGCTGTTCTCATTGCTTACTGCTCCCTTAGCCCAGCCCATGTGTGTCTCAGCCGAACTCAGGTCAGCACTCAGTTATCGGCAGGCTGTCATAGCATGGTCCTTCCTTGGAAGACTCCCACGCTTGCAGGTTTACATTTAAGTTTCTGATTATTTGGTTGGTAGGTTTATTTCCCCACTAGTCTGCAAGCTCCAGAAATGCAAGAACTCTGTCATGCTAAGAGAACTGGTAGACGCCTGTAGTCACGGCCTGGAAACTCAGGAAGACCGAGTGAAGTCAGCCTGGGCTACATAGCAAGACCCTGTCTCAAAAATAAAGAATTCATGCTGGGCATAATGGCATACATCTTTAATCCCAGCTTGAAGCCAGCCTGGTGTCCAGAGTGAATTCCAGGACAGCCAAAGCTACATACTGGGACCTTGTCTCAGTTTTAAAAAGAAAAAATCCTACCTAGTTCATGCTGTGCCACAGTCCCTGATGAATAATTGAGTGAATGACAAAGGTTGTAAAGGAGAACTGATAACCTTGCTAGGAAGAGGATGTTCTGATCTGTGTTTATTTCCTCGGAAATTAAGTGGTAGAAAAGGCTAGAAGTAAATTACTCAGACTAGTCCCTGCTTGTTCAGCTTGTTTGTTTGAAGATCTTTGATAACGCCTGTGGGTGTGATAAAGTTCCAGCATAGTTGGGAGACGTCGTGCATGGGGGATTCCAGATGACACAAAGGCAGAACAGCAGTGGTCTATACAGACCACATCCACTTGGGCTACCCATTTTGTTCTGAAGACTGTAAATATTTTACTGTTCATTTCTAAGCTAAGAATGCTTTTCAGAATACATACCTGATACCATTATTAGATCCCAAAGAAACGAATGATTCCTTCCTAGCACTGGATAGCCTCTCATGATCCATTCGCTGTTGTTTCATAAATGTGTCTATCGTGCTTTATTTGACCTTGAACCTAGATAAGGGCCATGAATTTGTTGGTTTATATCTAAAGTTTGTTCTAATCTCTTGGCCACCTGTAGGTTTTCCATCCTGTCCTTTGTTCTTTTTAAAATATAATTCTGATTTTGCTAGCCTGCTACCTAAAGTTCAGACTCCACAGCTTGAATATAACATCTTTTAAAGCCCCCAGATAATTCTTTACTCCGCCCTGTGTCTACAGTAGAATACGTCCTGCTCTCCATGTTTGTCTTCGTTGTGTTTAGATGCGGCTCTCATCGTCCACAGCAGGCCATCGCTCCTCCTCTTGTCCTGTGGGTTCTGTGCAGTCCTCTGCTGTGGTGCTGTGTTGTGTTAGGCTGAAGTTTCTATTTTTCCTCTTTCCCTGACAGAATTCCAGTGAGCCCTTTCTAAACTGTGAGGGCTGGATTTGCCTGTTTGTAACCTAAATTACACTGTCTGTAATTTGCCCCCTTTCTAGAGTCCAGCTACACGAGTGGATCATGAAACAGCCAGTGTTGTGAGTTCTAGCAGCACACACTCTGCTCCTCGAAGGCTGACGAGTCATCTGGGGACCAAGGTAACAGCAGAGGGCAAGTCCTCTCGTCAGTGCTGGGCTGTGCTAAGACAGCCGTCATGGACACTCTGTTCTCTAGAGATTCTGACTCGGTCTCCAGGGGAAATAATGATGATATGTTTTTATACAAAGAAACATAAACGAGGAAATGAGAATTATAAAAACTCCCGAAGTAGATGCCTGTTAATTTCTTGTTCAGCTCATTATCCATTTACCTGCAAGCATCAAAAGCCCCAGCCAAACTGACTGCTTCAGCACCCTATGTCTTTCTACCTCTGTGCCGTGCCTGTGGCGGCACCTGACACTTTTTGTGAAGGGCTGGCACAGTCTTTCCATGGCTCGGAACTCTGAACCCTGCGTCTCTAGAAGACATTTTCTTAATTCCTAGCGTCCTGTTAGCCACTGACCTGTGACCTCTCTTAACAGTTGGCTTGAAACTCGCTCTTTGACGACAGATTGTTGTCCTCTGTCTTCAGCATCTCACAGTATCTGCACATGATGTTAATGAATGTTTATTGAAATGGATGGAAAATCATTGAAATTGAGCATTAGCCAGTGCTGCAAATATTTTAAGGTTAGGGGAAAGTGTGAGAAGAAAATCACTTTAATGTTTTTCTAAAATGACATTCTGAGCAACATGTTTTCAGTCAGCAGTGCAGGTACACTGTCTTGATAGCCTACTCTGTTCTCTTGAAGTATGGCAGTGCTTAGGAAACACTGAAATCACTAATGTCAATTTAAGAAATGAATTTTAGAGCTAGGGACATAAGTCATTGGTAGAATGCTTGCCTAGTGTGTCCAAGGCTCTGGACTCAATTATTAAGAAGAAGAAACAATAAAAATTAAAGAAATAAATTTGAATCATTAATGCTAATCCACAATAGTTTCTATTTGGGACCTCTCCGAGGTATGCCAGTAAGGAGTTGCCTCTACATTATCACCAATTCTCTCAAACACTTCTATTCTTAGCCTTCTAAGGAGGAAATTGGAAAGGAAGAATCTGCTTCGGGCCATTAGAGTCTGAAGCTGACGAGATTGGTTCAGCATCAGCACAGTATTGGCTCTTGGCACATGGACATTGGCATTCAGACTGCATTTCCTTTAGAATTGATTTGTGCATAATAATATTCAGGCTTTGGTATACAATTTGAATGCCAGACTATTATTTTATGTAGTTTTCTGTATAATGTAAATCCTTCCAATTTGCAGTGGAGAAAATGCAGAAAGCTTATGCTCAAGAGACATCAAATAAATTAACTAGTACCACATAGCTTGCTTAAAAGTGCTGGAGTCAAACTTGGAACCTAGTTCTGATGAAAACACATTATTCCCAGCCCTGCTGCTGCTATAATAGAGCTAGCACCACTAGGAACTGTCTTCCACATTCTGAGCAGCATTTTGCAGTCAGCAGCATAGCTAGGTCGTTCTTGGTTACACTGCAGGATGTTAAGCAGTACCCCTGGCCTCTACCTACAAGATGCCCCTAACACTCTTACAACACTGCTGTTAAGACCAAAATTATGTATCCTCGTGGATTGCTGACTTACTCAGATGATGCATTTTTCCTATAATGCCCTCTCGTTTATGGAATATCCTCTAACTTTGGAGGGAAACTGGTAACAACCCATGCTAACTGGATGCTGTTTTTCTATTTCTAGTTTCCTTCTCAGTTAATCCTTCCAACTTACTGTCAAAGCAGCTAATGCTTACCAGTTGCATTTTAAAAAGGAAATGATGACAGTTCTTGGCTTTGTCACTCTCTATGTGTTTGTGGCATTTTTCTTTTTATGACAAAATAATTTTATATGATAAGAGAGATCATATAAGTTTAAATCTTGTAATTATAAGCCTGATGAAATGTAATGATTGCCCAGATTTAGAATTTAGTAGATTACAATTGTTGCAAAATGTTTTCTATTGCTTAGAAGTAAAATGAAGTTTTAAATTATATAAAGAATTTAATAAACACATTCCAGAGAGAGAGAGAGAGAGAGAAAGAATGAGAATGAATGGGTATGTGAGAAGAAAAATTAATTATTTTCATTCATGTAAGTTAGCTTTAGCTGATGCAGGCACGCAGCAATTTCAGTACTGTAAAAACTTATTTTTTTCAGCATTCTGCAATATTATCACTTAGTGACATAATTGTGGATGTTATTTTGAAATAGCACTCATCACTTCATCCAGAAAAGTTTTTTTAATTTAATTTTGTTTTGTTTTAATTTTTAATGAATTTAGTAAATGATCCCATTCATCATCACTTCATTAGATCTGACTTTTGGGTATCAAAGTCATAATTTTGTTTCTAAACTCATTTGGCCCACAGGTGGAAATGGTGTATTCATTGTTGTCAATGCTTGGTACCCATGATAAGGATGATATGTCACGAACTTTGCTAGCTATGTCTAGCTCCCAAGACAGCTGTATATCCATGCGGCAGTCTGGATGTCTTCCTCTCCTCATCCAGCTTTTACATGGCAATGACAAAGACTCTGTATTGTTGGGAAATTCCCGGGGCAGTAAAGAGGCTCGGGCCAGGGCCAGTGCAGCCCTCCACAACATCATTCACTCACAGCCTGACGACAAGAGAGGCAGGCGTGAAATCCGAGTCCTTCATCTTTTGGAACAGATACGAGCTTACTGTGAAACCTGTTGGGAGTGGCAGGAAGCCCATGAACAAGGCATGGACCAGGACAAAAATCCAAGTATGTTCTCTGTAGTGTACATCAATCACATTGCATGTTTCAAAGCATTTGTAAGTTGTAGTTTAGAAACTCTTTGTAGTTATATGCTGTCTTTATGAATAGAAAGGATTTGTATTAGGTAGCTAATGCTGCTAACACATTAAAGGCTTAAATCTGCATTTCCCTAAAACTTTTGCAAAGGAAAATGTTATGTGCACTACTGTGCAATCAAAACAGAACAAGCAAATCAGTTGTGAGGGTGATCTGCCTGGGCAGGCGTTCCCTTCCTCCCTCGCTGCTTTATTGCTTCCCCCAAAACTGAGTACACAGTTAAAGAGGGCAACCTTTCCCAGAAGAGGAGGACCATCATTCAGTCGGGGGTATATGAGTAGCAGCAGCCCCTGCTAGAACCTCCAGGCAAGCTTTCAAGAACAAACCAAAAGACCCTTGTAATTAAAACTTAAAGCTAGCTGCTTTGATGGCTCATGTGTGTAATCTCCGCATCTGAGAGATGGAGACAAGAGGACCAGGAGTGCAAGGTCTTCTTGGACTACACAGAGTTCAGAGTCAGCCTTTGTCATAGGACCCTGTTTCAAAGAGCCACAAAAAGAAAAAAATTCATGGTAGAGCTAAAATCAATGTGAGCAGCTAGGTTGCCCTTTGAATGGAGCTCAGGAAAGTAATTGTTACGTAAGTTCCTTCAGCTGTTAGCAACCCAGCCATAATCTTCTACATTGTACGTCGCATACACTGAACACACACTACCTGTTGTTTCTTGGTCTTCAGTGGCCTTTATGGAGTAGGAGAAAAGGAAAGATGTATTGTCTCCATTTGTAAATGAAATTGATGCTTAAGCTAAAAACACTGTGTTTGTCCTTGAACCTATGTAGCAGAATTTCCCTAAGCTTAATATAAAGATTATTTCAAATCTTAAGAATGTATAAGGAAAGGAGCAAGGATGATTTTTTTTTTTAATTCACTTAGGGAGACTTGGAGTGAGAGGTGAGAGCCAATAGACACTTTGTTTTGAGAACATTTCTTTCTTGATGGGGGAGAAGTACCCACAATTATTTAATAAATCATTGCTTCTGAAAAAAATAATTTAAAAATACTTTTGTGTCAAATATTGACTTGAGACCTTGCATATAATAGTAAAGATGTAAGTGCATTTTACACCTTATTTTAGATACCCTTTTCTTTACATTTTTATTACGTATCTGTATAGGAAACTTTCTGCTAGGTATCACATCTGTATGCGACCATATGCTTTTCATCCATAACCATCATAGTTGTTTACACTGAAATTAGAAACAAAATCCAACAGTATTATACCAAAGTGTGTTTATTCTTTCATATAGTCATCATTTAAAATGATTACACATATGAACTCTAGCAAAACCTATGGGAGACCCCGTCTGACAGGCTTGGTTACAGCTGGCAAGGGAACATGCTATGGAACCGGAAGCTCTTGGCACAGTTGTGTTCCCCTACTTGCTGACCTGCTAACCTTAGGGACATATTAACAACTCCGGCACATTTTAGAAGTGGAATAGCATCTCTTCTATAATAACAAAATATTATGGCTTAGGTAAATTTATTTTTCAGTGCCAGCTCCTGTTGAACATCAAATCTGTCCTGCTGTGTGTGTTCTCATGAAGCTTTCATTTGATGAAGAGCATAGACATGCAATGAATGAACTTGGTAAGATAAAAAGGTTTCTTAATGCCATAAGCAAGTGCTGCTGAATCTTTAAAACAGCTATAGAAATTTGTCACTGGAATAAATATAGACAGATAAGTTGATATAATGTAAGGCTACTAACTTCCATCCATATAGGGAAAAGGAAGAACCACTGTACCCTGGTCTCCATGGGAAAATGGATCATGAATCATAGAAATGTCTACCCTCTTATAAACCAACTTCAGTTTTTAAAATCTTAACTAAAGATTGGGAAAATTACTAAGTGGACCACCCCTGCCTTTGTTGTCCAGATAGATCCTATGTCACCTCTGATGAAGAGGAATTATTTGAATTATTTATTAAAACATCATTGTTCTTAGCCAGTCAGTGGTGGTGCATGTCTTTAATCCCAGCACTTAGGAGGCAGAGGCAGGTGGATCTCTAGTTTAAGAACAGCCTGGTCTACATAGTGAGTTCCAGGACAACCAGGGCTACATGGAGAAACCCTGTCTTGGTGGCGGCAGGGGGAGGAGGGGATCAGTGTTCTTGCAATCTGTCAGTGTCTTTAGATGAACACCAGGAAGAAGAGTTAATAGGATTTTAATTTATCTTAATGGTTATCAGTATTTTACTGGTTTTTTCTTGAAACTAGTATATGTAGAAAGATACATTCTAATTGAAGTTAGAAACATTACATTAATTTTGGAGAAATAACTCCTTTATGTACATATTATCACATCCTCTAAACCCTGTGTAACCATTGAGTACCCATTTTTTCATGTAACGGTTTCTTTAATTTCAAGATTATTTTACACACATAAAGCATGTCATGCTGAGCCATCACATGTAAACTGGATTTCTGTAGTCATGCCACATGCAAGAACCATACACTGAAGTTTCTGTCTTGGCATAGCTGTGCCCATGCTTTTGTGCTATTTTTGTTACATTACATTCCAACCCCTGCATTGTATTCTTAGCACCCTGTCATTGTTATTCATCATTTACTGTAAAAGTGGTACAGTTTGAGACTCTTAACTACAAACTGCGCTGCAGGACGTGAGTGCTGTCTCCTTCAGAGTCATCACTTGGAGAACTCTGTGCTGTGTGGCTTGAGGCCTGCTCTCCAGCCATGCTTTTCTTCCCACAGGCCCATCTGGTCCTCTTTCCAGTGTCCTGTGAAACTTCATTTAATCTTATGGGTTTTCCCATTTCAGTACAATCTCAGCATTTATGACTTTTTTTCCTAATGCCAATAATTATGAAAAGGGGTAAAACTAACAATAGGAAAACGTAGTTTTAAGGTATTGCAAAGATTTTTCTATAAATGTTCATATGTTCCAATGAACTATAGACTAGGACTGACACATTAATTATCTGAATTTCAGAATAAAACTTAGACTCAGTATTTGTTCCTCTTCTTCTTCAGGTAGGAAGGCTACCCGGGGCATTTCACCACAGGAGCTAGGTCAGGGGCTCTCAGGTGAGGAGCAGGAGGGGCTCTGGGGGTGTGACTGTGGGGACATAGCCACAGGGTTACCTTCCTCTCATTCCTCGCCTTCAGATTTGCACTGGGGCAAAAGAAGAGTTAAGGTCTCTGTGTCACAGGGAGGGAGTATAAGATAGCAGAGGGTCTGGCTGTAAGGACTAAGGAAAGTGTCAGCCCCGGTCAGATGAGGACAGCTCTTAGGCCTAGTCATGAGCACTGTCACGTGTATGTATGTGACGATCTACCACTATCAGGGCTATTCAGGTTTGCACCTGTTAGTACCAAACGTTTCAGATTGTAGTATTCATTGATGTATATTCGTTAATTCCCAAGCCTGCCCAAGAAAGTCTGGTAGATATTGGAATTTTCCAATGATTAAGATATCCCTGGCTTCCAGTAAAAACATGATTTATTTACATTAATATTTCACAACACTTCTAGATCATAACAGTCAGCAGAGGCACTTGCCAAGCCGGATAGATTGTCCAGCCCTGTAGCAAACAGACTCCCCACAGTAGGACCCCAGGAATTAAACAAATAGTCTGAGTGATGCTTATGGTTGTGAAATTGGGGTATCAGTCTACAGAATATCAATGTGGACCCCAATACTTACTTAAGAAGAGAACATCTCAGGCTAATGATGACTGTCTAAGCCATATGATTAAAAAAAAATTCTGTACTTTTAAAAATTAAATGTCCTATTACCTTGTTTTAGTGTAACTGCGAGTCTACTCAATATCACTTGAAGCAGTTGGCTCTTCCTTGTCTGTAAGGACAACTAACTGTCCTATCATTCAATAGTGAGCCCATCTAGACGCTGTTTCCTCTGCACAGACACTGTCAATAGTGCGCCCATCTAGACACTGTTTCCTAGCAGACATCAGTGCAGGAGGGTATACTCACTTCTGCATTGAGACATACTCATTTCTCTGCTGGTTATGAATTTGCATTATATTTCAGTGAATCCTTTTATAGTTTTAACCTGTGAATTATATCTTTGCCTCAGAATTCACTGATTTTTTTTCTTTTTACTTGCCTAAAATTATAAACGGATCCCTTTTATCTAATATTTCAAGTTTTACTAATTTTTCTCAGTTATAGTCTTTATAGAATTGTTGACATACAGTAGTATATCTTTAATTTTTGTTTAAAATCAAATCCTAAAATTGATATTTTTAGATAGGAGAGTTCCTGACAATTGAAGGCCTTCTTAGCACCTTCTTTAGACCATTTTATCTTTCTTAGGAAGTAATCCTAAGTCTAGGCAAGACTTTATGCAAAAACAGAGCATAGAGTGTTTTACCTTGGTACTGAGACCCTGCTTCACAATACTCTATATCTTGAGCGTCTCATCGGCATCCAGGGCCACGGTCTTCAGGTCTTTAGTGACTCCCTAGTCAGTATCTTGTATCAAAGTAACAGTTATGTCGCTGTCTCCTTCTTCTTTACTCAACTATACAAAACACTGGCCTTCACTGGAGCCTGGCCTTCAGCTCTCGTTCTCCGTCCCTGTGCTGGATCTTTTTGTTTCTAGGGCTCCACTTCCTGTATTAGTCATTGTTCAGCCGGTGTTCTCTGATTCACATGTCAATCTAACTTTTCCCTCCTAAGTTCTATGTGTGTTAGGCAAACACTCTACCACCAACCCTTCTGGATATGTTTTCATACTACTTATCTGGCATCTTCCTTTATATGGTATTCTAGACACTTCTAACTGAACTCTCACAAATGGAATTTGTTACCTTCATCCCAAAATCTGTCTCTTCCAGATTTCCTTTTGGCATTCTAATAAACCGGTTGTTCAAATCAAAATCTTAGGAAAATCATCCATGACTGCATTGGTATCTCCTACATTAGCAAAGGAGCACTTTAATCCTAACTCTTGAATATATCTCAAGCCAGGCATGGTGGCACACACCAAGTGCTTGGGAGGCAGACTAAGGTTTATCTCTGAGTTCAAGGCTGGTCTAATCTACATAGGGAGTTCCAAGTCTGTCAGGATGCATAATGAGACCGTCTCAAAAACAACAGCAATATGTGCATGTGTGTGTGCATGCGCACATGCATGTATGTATGTGTATATATATATAATTGCTATTTCTCATTGTGAAGCGAGGCACCATTGTCTCTCTGGCCCTGCATATTCTGTACTACTTCCGGTCCTAAGCCATTTTGCACATTGCACTCATACTTTCTTTACAGTGCGCCTCTAATTATACCCTCTTCCTAGCATCCTGATCTGCTCATTGTTGTGGCTTCAGTTGGTGGCCTCCTCTTTGTTGGGCCCTTACACACACTGTTTATCCTGCCAAGCTAGACTAATTCTTTCTCTTCCGTGCTCTGCCCCTGTTAGATACTCAGTCATCCAATAGACTTCACCTTAAACTTGGTTTCTTGGGGCCTTCTCCACTGCAGATCTGGGTGCTGCACACCATTCGTAAGTTTCGTGAAGACAGTGACTAGATTTGTTTCACCCACTACTTACCCATTATTGCAAATAGATGGAGGAAAATCTTCATAAATATGGTTTAGATTTTCTTTATACAAATTAATTTGCTTGCCAGTGTTCAGAGAATTGACTATCATCTCTTCTTGTCATAAAGATCTGCATGAATCCTCCTGTAATTAAGATACCTTGTCTTACAGTTTTAAGCTCAACGTAGAACTTCATTTTGTGAGTTTACAAATTCTTCTGCTGATCTTTTCATGTTCTTCATGAAATGTTAGTGTGCTGGTCTTTCAGGTTAGCAACCTGCTGAGACTTACAAGCTCATTTTTTTTTAATGCCTGAGCAACCTTTCTTTAAAAGACCATACCCCGAGTCCTGTGGTGCTTGCTGCTGAACAACGCTTTAATAGTCCGTGTGCATTTTTACCTTCCTTTTATTCTCGTCCTCACCGTTTCGCTTCCCTTTTGTCATAGCTCATTCCTTTGTTGTCTCCCCTTTTCCTTCCCCTTTATGTTCCTCCTTTCCTTGCTAGTGTTGACCACTGTGAGCGTTACTAAGCATACCTGCTAGTTGAATATTAGGAAGGAGGAAAATACTGAGTCCTGGTATGGCTGATATATTATAGTATCCAAGGGAAGTAAGATTATTTTGTAAAGAAACTTTACAGTTGGCTGAATAGGTCATTCTTTTCATGAAATAAGTTTTACTTCATGCACAATTTCATTTAAAAGTTTCAATATTCCGAAGGATATTTATTTGACACTTTAAAAAAGTATTAGGCCACCGGGTGGTGATGGCGTATGCCTTTAATCCCAGCACTTGAGAGGCAGAGGCAGGTGGATTCCTGTGAGTTCGAGGCCAGCCTGATCTACAAGAGATCCAGGACAGGCACCAGAAACTACGGAGAAATTCTGTCTCGGGAAAAGAAAAAAAAAAGTATTAGGCCACAGTAAATGACAGTGGAAAGTAGTTTTAAAGCCCTTATACTAGCAATAAGTTAATTTTTCTGTATAGGTTTAGGAAGGCCCATGTTATAACAAATAGCTCCATTGTTGCCAGGGCACAGTGTATGTCAGGGTGCAGAAAACAATGGTGATGTCATTCAGTAAAGCTGGAGGGGGGAGACACTGGCCAGAAGTGGAATCATTGTCGGTTGTACTTTATATTACACAGAAATTGTTTATAGCAGTTTTGTGGCTTTTTCATTCTAAAGGCAAATTTATTTAAATCATGTAGTCTCAATCTTTGAGATTTTCCCCTGGTTTTTAAGCTGCCAAATTATATCAGTTTATTTGATTCTAGATTATTATATTTTTTCCTTTTACCCTTGTTAATTAGGGGGACTGCAGGCCATTGCAGAGCTGTTGCAGGTGGACTGTGAGATGTACGGGCTTACTAATGACCACTACAGTATTACTTTAAGACGGTATGCTGGAATGGCTTTGACAAACTTGACGTTTGGAGATGTTGCCAACAAGGTATGTCTTTTTATAAGATTTACTTCTTAAGATAGCTCAATTAGTAGTCAGTTTATTTTCAGAATAACAACTTTTTGAACTAAAGAAGCAAAGAATTACTTACGATTTTTTTGGTGTTTCTATCCCACCGCAGCTGAACAATGACTGATAAAAGCGTCCTTTCTCCCTACTGCATTCCCTACTTAGTAGGCTGTCTTGTGCCTGACGATAGGCTGCTGTGCTGAATTGACACAGCTGCACCAGCAGCATTGCTCCTCATACTGGGGATGTAGCAAAAAATGGTGGTTCATTCACCTAGAAAATGCAGACCACCAGTACTGCAGGAAAGAATAATTGCTAAAACACTGTTCCAGGAGAAAGCATAAGCTACCGTGACAGACAGTCCACACCCTGAGTCCACCAGACAGAACGCCGGGCTCTGCCCTTCGCTTATTATTTCTCAGGGCTTTGTTTGGCTTTTCCAGTTAGGTAAAGGAAGTAGATAACAGAAATGGCATCTGTCCTACATCTAGGTAGTTTTGTTCTGGGTCTTGTATAGGTAAAATAACATTTATGGTTTAAGTAAGAACCAGCTTTGAAATTCAGTAGCTAGAAAGAAAGCCACTTGAGGCCATCTCACGATCCTGCTCCATGTCTCCTGTTGCAGGCTACACTGTGTTCTATGAAAGGCTGTATGAGAGCACTCGTGGCCCAGTTAAAATCTGAAAGCGAAGACTTACAGCAGGTACTACTTAGAATTTCTAGTGTTTTTCCTGGGTAGTAACGATTTATATTAAACTTTGACTCGGTATTTAGTGATTTATGTTAAAGTATGGTCCCATTAACACTTAAGTAAAGGAAAATATTTATGTTGAACTAATTCCTTTTGGCACCCTAGTAATATATATAAGAAATTTGCTATAGGCAGAAAATTCTATTTTTATTATTATAATCAATCATATTTAAATTAGTGGGTTTCATTTATGACCTTTCAAAGCATGCAAATGCCATGTTTTGATAATAATGTAGCTGGAGCATTCCTAATCCTAAATTTGACACTATTTGTATGCTGCTTGCATGACACCACATGTGGAAAATCTGTGTTGTGAAACTGTTCAGTGCACTAAGTTATTAAAATACTACATAAAATTGCCTTTGGGTTAAACATGTAAGATACATATATATGGAATGTAATCTTATACCCAGGGAATGTCACGCGTGTACTAATATTCAAAAAGCCAATTTTAAAATCAAAACACTTACGATGCCAAGCTTTTTAGATAAGATGTATTTAACTTGTAATAGATTTCTATTCTTACCTCTGGAATTAGAAACAAAAAGGTAACTAGTATGACTCATTTTGTATGCAAATTATTTTAAACCTGATTATTTACAGGTTATTGCAAGTGTTTTGAGGAATTTGTCTTGGCGAGCAGATGTAAATAGCAAAAAGACATTGCGAGAAGTTGGAAGTGTGAAAGCATTGATGGAATGTGCTTTGGAAGTTAAAAAGGTAACTTTGAAAATGTTCAGTACTGTAATAGGTAATCCACCTGCCTCTGCCTGCCTAGTGCTGGGATTAAAGGTGTAAACCACCAGAGGGACCCTGTCTGAAACAAGGTGGGAGGCAAGACCCAGCACCAGAGGCTGTCCTGATTGACCTGCACATGGTGGCATGCACACACCTATTCTCTCAGCTCACACAGACACTTGAGGTACACGCAGCCTTGTTTAAATGTATGGAGGTTCTTAGAAAGATACCGTTGAAACTGCTAAATAGGTGACAGGTGGATAGCCACTGCATGCTGAAGAAGGTACAGGATATCATCCGTTGTTAAACTACAGTGAGATGCTATTATGCATACCATACTGAATTAATGTTAAAAAAGTAAGCCACACATCAAGGTAGCTGAGCCACTGGAGGTATTCTGTACTGCTGTTGGGAATGGAAAAGTGTGTGTAAGCACTTAGGAAAACATTTGGACAGGATTTTATGTTAAACATAAACCTTCCAAACTATCCAGCCATTCCATTCTTTAACATTTTCCTACAGGAACAAAAACTAATGTTCTCACACAGATTGAAACACGAATGAATGTGTTTCATAATCTTGTAATGTCCAAAAATCAGAAGTGACCAAAGTCTTGAGTGGATCACTGTTTCCGTCTCTCCTAATCTGCATCCTGATACCTTTTCCTTTGTCTCAAAATCCATTTAGGTTATTTAATTGGGTTTTTTTTTCCCTCTTTTCCTGCACTTTATACTTTTTGATCAATTGTTGTTCTGAAGCTTCTTTCCTGATTCTAATTGCTAATCATTTCTCCCCCTTCTTAAGCCCTTCTCCACGTCCTTCTCTCATCCCGTCCCAAGTACACTGCACACACTGCCGTGTGCCTGAGCTCCTCCCCCAGCTTGTAATCATTTTATGCCTCCTGTAATTTCAGCTGTAAAGTTTGTTTACTGCAGACCATTGGTCTGGAGGCTCTGGATCATCTGTGTTCTTTGTCTCCCACTTTTAAGTCAATTACAGTTTTCCTCACTTCAGAGTTTTTGCCACTTTTCCTGTTGATCATCCTACCTTTACTTCAGTCACATTGTAATTAAAGTGAACTCCAGTCCTTCCTACTTGTGCGTACACGTGTGTGCATGCATGCGTGTGTGTGTGTGTGTGTGTTTGCGCTTGCGCATGTGTGTTGGGGTTTTTTGTTGTTTTGTTTGTTCTTGTTGTTTTGATACTGGGTCTTACATAGAGAAGCTGGCCTTGATTTTATAACAGTCTTCCTACCTCCTATCTTAGCCACCCAAGTTCTGGGATTGTAGGCATGCATCACAACACCTGGCTAGGGACTTAGATGAAACTGGCCATTTAGGTAAGGCATCATGACTTACTGGAAATTAGACTCTGTGTGTCTGCACAGATGCTAGGGTTCAGACTCCAAGTAAAGTAATTCAGACCCTGTTCAGAATCTAGCTTTTGTTTCTGGTGTTTTCTCTCTACATTGTCTACATTATCTTTCTACAGTGTTGTCCCCTTTGTGAGGTATTTATATTAAATTCAGACTGCGTAACCTTCTTTTTAGAGTACTGTATTGCATCTATATTGTCTGAAGTGCTTCTTGTCCTACTAGAAACAAATACATTTCTAATAAAGATTCCTTGATGGTGTCATAAAAAGAAACACTGACATCTGGAGTATGACAAAGTATGACCAGATACATTAATTGTGTATCTGAATGTATCTGTGGCAGTTACATTTTTTTTTATATTAATGAGCTTGGGCATTTTCATAATTACTTTGTTTCTTTAGGAGTTTTAAGAATTTGTACATATTCTAGTACTTTTCAGAAGTTACATTCTTTTTAATCAACAGCATATGAATACATATATTTGTTTTTAATACAAATAGAATATTATATAACCTTCTCTGTAGTATGTTGCCATTTAGTACTTAGATATCCTTCCATATACATACACAGTATATGAAGGTGTTTTAATTGAGTTTCTGTTATCCTCCTGATAATATTATTTTGTGATAGTGAATACAGTTACTGAATATCAATTCTGCTTCATATTCTGGGTTCATTAAAGATATCTAACATCTAACATCTAAACACTTAGAACAAAGGTCACTACTTTAACACTGTGTTGTATAATAGGAACAGAGCTGACCTAGATTTCATTTGGCGTGCATGAAAGTGTTTGTAAATGAGAAGTTACTGATTTACTAGTGAAGAATGTGCAGAAAGCAGACAAAAAGAAAAAGGATTCTAACATATGGATGCATACTCTGTTTCCATCATTAATAGGAATCAACCCTCAAAAGTGTCTTGAGTGCCTTATGGAACCTGTCCGCACACTGCACCGAGAATAAAGCTGACATATGTGCTGTGGATGGAGCACTTGCATTTTTGGTTGGCACTCTCACTTACCGAAGCCAGACAAATACATTAGCCATCATTGAAAGTGGAGGTGGGATATTACGAAATGTGTCCAGCTTGATAGCTACAAATGAAGACCACAGGTATATGCCAAGTTTTATATTGTTTTTAAATAGATTATTATAGTTTATTTTCTTTAAAAAGACCTAATTGTAAAATATTTTGTGTCATAAAAGCTTTAAGCAAAATGTCCTTATTGCAGTGTGAAGATGATTACAACTCCAGGTATAACTCATTTGCATGGTTTTGCTAGTAAAGTTTGAAGTATCTTATAGAAATCTACAAATAAATAAATGGTAGTTGAGAGGTACAGCCTACCTGTAAAAATATGAATAAAAGTCAGAATACTTTCAGTTCTTTCATGCCTGTTTAGATAATGTAAAGAAATATAAAACTAATTTTCAAGCAAAGAAAAAACTACTGAGTACGACGTAGGAAGTATAAAAGCTTTAACAGTTTTCTAATGGTGTCTTAACCCCAGTCTTCAGATTGCTTAGTCATGAGCCATTCATCCAGTCTGCTAAACTGTGGAGCTTCAGGAGTCACTTCAGATTGAGGCAGCGTGTTGTCCTGTAGACGGTACATTTTCATAGTGCATATCATGTTATTTTTAGTGTGCCAGCAATCACATACAAAGGACATGGTACTTTCACAGGTACAGAGATCACTCTAGAAAGTAAGCTTGCTGTTCTAGAAGCATGTCTGCTCCCTGACTACGTAAAGATCTATCAATCACCTGTCTTCGGCTTCCAAGATACTTCAGTATTCAACATGGTTGCTTCACCATAAATTAAATTGCCACGGTCCCTGTTTAATTAGATTTCATGATGTGTTTGTAGTTTTTAAGTTAGGAAACTTACTGTGTGATGGAGAAAATATATTTATTCAAAAATAATTCTTTTTCTCGTGTAGTGGATCAGAGTAGGACACAGAGTAAATATTCTTTTCCTACTTTGGGTCTGACAGATGGATACTTTGAAACAGTAAACATTAAATGAACCAAGAGAACAAAAGGAGAGGTGGCCAGCTTGGTTGACAAGAAGCTGATAGACTCGTATTGTCCTTGTTGTGTTTGTAGTCGTCTCAGGGTTTGCCGTTTTCTGTCCACTAGTCACATTTCCCCCTGAATCTTATGTGTTCTTGTTTTAATTCAGGCAAATCCTAAGAGAGAACAACTGCCTACAGACTTTATTACAGCACTTGAAATCTCACAGCTTGACAATAGTCAGTAATGCTTGTGGAACTCTGTGGAATCTCTCAGCAAGAAATCCTAAAGACCAGGAAGCTTTATGGGACATGGGGGCAGTGAGCATGCTCAAGAACCTCATTCATTCAAAGCACAAAATGATTGCTATGGGAAGTGCTGCAGCTTTAAGGAACCTCATGGCAAACAGACCTGCAAAGTATAAGGATGCCAATATTATGTCTCCTGGGTCAAGTTTGCCTTCTCTTCATGTTAGGAAGCAAAAGGCCCTAGAAGCAGAGTTAGATGCTCAGCATTTATCAGAAACCTTTGACAATATTGACAACTTAAGTCCCAAGGCATCTCATCGTAGCAAGCAGAGACACAAGCCAAATCTTTATGGTGACTATGTTTTTGACACCAATCGACATGATGATAATAGAGCAGACAATTTTAATGCTGGGAACATGACTGTTCTTTCACCATATTTAAATACTACAGTATTGCCCAGCTCTTCTTCATCGAGGGGAAGTTTAGACAGTTCTCGTTCTGAAAAAGACAGAAGTTTAGAGAGAGAACGAGGTATTGGCCTCAGCACTTACCATTCAACAACAGAAAATCCAGGAACCTCTTCAAAACGAGGTCTGCAGATCTCCAGCACTGCAGCCCAGATTGCCAAAGTTATGGAAGAAGTATCAGCCATTCACACCTCCCAGGAAGACAGAAGTTCCGGCTCTGCCACTGAATTCCATTGTGTGACGGATGAGAGGAATGCAGCACGGAGAAGCTCCGCTTCCCATACACATTCAAACACATACAACTTCACTAAATCGGAAAATTCAAATAGAACATGCTCTATGCCTTATGCCAAAGTGGAGTATAAGAGATCTTCCAATGACAGTTTAAACAGTGTCAACAGTAGTGATGGCTATGGTAAAAGAGGTCAGATGAAGCCCTCCGTCGAGTCCTATTCTGAAGATGATGAAAGTAAGTTTTGCAGTTATGGTCAGTATCCAGCTGACCTAGCCCACAAGATACATAGTGCAAATCATATGGATGATAATGATGGAGAGCTGGATACACCAATAAATTACAGTCTTAAATATTCAGATGAACAGTTGAACTCTGGAAGACAGAGTCCCTCACAGAATGAAAGATGGGCAAGACCAAAGCATGTCATAGAAGATGAAATAAAGCAAAACGAGCAAAGACAACCCAGAAGCCAAAACACCAATTATCCTGTCTATTCTGAGAACACGGATGATAAACACCTTAAGTTCCAACCACATTTTGGACAACAGGAATGTGTTTCCCCATATAGGTCTAGGGGAACCAGTGGTTCAGAAACAAATCGAATGGGCTCTAGTCATGCAGTTAATCAAAATGTAAACCAATCTTTGTGTCAGGAAGATGACTACGAAGATGATAAGCCCACCAACTACAGTGAGCGTTATTCAGAGGAAGAACAGCATGAAGAAGAGGAGAGACCCACAAACTATAGTATAAAATATAACGAAGAAAAACATCATGTGGATCAGCCTATTGATTATAGTTTAAAATATGCCACTGACATTTCTTCCTCCCAGAAACCATCATTTTCTTTCTCAAAGAACTCATCAGCACAAAGCACTAAAACTGAGCATATCTCTCCAAGCAGCGAGAGTACATCCACACCTTCATCTAATGCCAAAAGGCAGAGTCAGCTGCATCCAAGTTCAGCACAGAGAAATGGTCAGGCTCAAAAAGGGACCACTTGTAAAGTCCCCTCCATCAACCAAGAAACAATGCAGACTTACTGCGTAGAAGACACCCCCATATGTTTCTCAAGGTGCAGTTCATTATCATCTCTGTCGTCAGCTGAAGATGAAATAGGATGTGATCCGACAACACAGGAGGCAGATTCTACTAACACTCTGCAGATAGCAGAAATAAAGGAGGACGATGGAACTCGATCAACTGAAGATCCGGCAAGCGAAGTTCCAGCAGTGTCCCAGAACGCTAGAGCCAAACCCAGTCGACTCCAGGCTTCTGGCTTATCTTCAGAATCAACCAGGCATAAAGCTGTTGAATTTTCTTCAGGGGCCAAGTCTCCCTCCAAAAGTGGTGCTCAGACGCCCAAAAGTCCCCCCGAACACTATGTCCAGGAGACCCCACTTGTGTTCAGCCGATGCACTTCTGTCAGCTCACTTGACAGTTTTGAGAGTCGCTCCATTGCTAGCTCTGTTCAGAGTGAGCCTTGCAGTGGAATGGTGAGTGGCGTTATCAGCCCCAGTGACCTTCCAGATAGCCCTGGGCAGACCATGCCACCAAGCAGAAGCAAAACCCCTCCTCCTCCTCCCCAGACAGTCCAGACCAAGAGAGAGGTGCCAAAAGCTAAAGCATCTGCTGCAGAGGAGAGAGAGAGCGGCCCTAAGCAGACTGCTGTGAGTGCTGCGGTCCAGAGGGTCCGGATCCTTCCAGATGCTGATACTCTATTGCATTTTGCCACAGAAAGTACTCCAGATGGGTTTTCCTGTTCGTCCAGCCTGAGCGCGCTGAGCCTCGATGAGCCATTTATACAGAAGGACGTGGAATTAAGAATAATGCCCCCAGTTCAGGAAAACGACAACGGGAATGAAACCGAGCCAGAGCAGCCTGAAGAGTCCAGTGAAAATCAGGAGAAAGAGGTAGAAAATCCTGATTCTGAAAAAGACCTATTAGATGATTCAGATGACGATGATATTGAAATATTAGAAGAGTGCATTATCTCAGCCATGCCAACAAAGTCATCACGCAAAGCCAAAAAGCTAGCCCAGACTGCTTCAAAATTACCTCCACCTGTGGCAAGAAAGCCAAGTCAGCTGCCTGTGTACAAACTTCTGCCATCACAAAACAGGCTGCAGACACAAAAGCATGTTAGCTTCACACCAGGAGATGATATGCCCCGCGTGTACTGTGTAGAAGGGACACCTATAAACTTTTCCACAGCGACATCTCTAAGTGATCTGACAATAGAATCCCCTCCAAATGAGTTGGCTGCTGGTGACGGGATTCGAGCAGGTACACAGTCAGGTGAATTTGAAAAACGAGATACCATTCCTACAGAGGGCAGATGTACAGATGAAGCTCAGAGGGGGAACATCTCATCTGTAGTTATGCCAGACTTGGATGACACTAAAGCAGAGGAAGGAGATATTCTTGCGGAATGTATCAATTCTGCTATGCCCAAAGGAAAAAGCCACAAGCCTTTCCGAGTGAAAAAGATAATGGACCAGGTCCAACAAGCATCAGTGACTTCATCTGGAACTAACAAAAATCAATTAGACACTAAGAAAAAGAAGCCGACTTCACCAGTAAAGCCCATGCCACAAAATACAGAATATAGAACACGAATGAGGAAGAATACAGACTCAAAAGCTAACGTAAATGCCGAAGAAACTTTCTCAGACAGCAAAGACTCAAAGAAACAGAGCTTGAAAAACACCCCCAAGGACTTCGGTGAGAAGCTGCCGAACAACGAAGACAGAGTCCGCGGAAGCTTCGCCTTCGATTCGCCGCATCCTTACACCCCTATTGAAGGAACTCCTTACTGCTTTTCACGAAATGATTCTTTGAGCTCTCTAGATTTTGATGATGACGATGTTGACCTGTCCAGGGAAAAGGCTGAGTTAAGAAGGGGAAAAGAAAGTAAGGATTCAGAAGCCAAAGGTATCTGCCACACAGATCCAACCTCAAGTCAACAGTCAGCTAGTAAGTCACAAGCTAATACAAAACATCCAATAAATAGGGGACAGTCCAAACCAGGGCTTCAGAAACAACCCACTTTCCCCCAGTCCTCCAAAGACTTGCCAGATAGGGGGGCAGCCACGGATGAAAAATTGCAGAATTTTGCTATTGAAAATACTCCAGTTTGCTTTTCTCGAAATTCCTCTCTGAGTTCCCTTAGTGACATTGACCAAGAAAACAACAATAACAAAGAAAATGAACCAATCAAGGAAGCTGAACCTGCTAACACACAGGGGGAACCAAGTAAGCCTCAGGCATCTGGGTACGCGCCCCGGTCATTTCATGTCGAGGACACCCCTGTCTGCTTCTCACGAAACAGCTCCCTCAGTTCTCTGAGCATCGACTCTGAAGATGACCTGCTGCAGGAGTGCATCAGCTCCGCAATGCCGAAAAAGAAAAGACCTTCAAGACTCAAGGGTGATAGTGGAAAGCAGAGTCCCAGAAACATGGGAGGCATATTAGCTGAAGATCTGACACTTGACTTGAAAGATATACAGAGGCCAGATTCAGAACATGGCTTATCTCCTGATTCAGAAAACTTTGACTGGAAAGCTATTCAAGAAGGTGCGAACTCCATAGTGAGCAGTTTGCACCAGGCTGCCGCTGCCGCTGCGTGTTTATCTCGACAGGCTTCGTCCGATTCCGACTCCATCCTCTCACTCAAGTCAGGCATTTCCCTGGGCTCACCCTTCCATCTCACACCTGATCAAGAGGAAAAACCCTTCACAAGTAATAAAGGCCCAAGAATTCTCAAACCGGGGGAGAAAAGCACATTAGAAGCAAAAAAGATAGAATCTGAAAATAAAGGAATCAAAGGTGGGAAAAAGGTTTATAAAAGTTTAATTACTGGAAAGATTCGATCTAATTCAGAAATTTCCAGCCAAATGAAACAGCCTCTCCCGACAAACATGCCCTCAATCTCAAGAGGCAGGACCATGATTCACATCCCCGGGGTTCGAAATAGTTCCTCCAGTACAAGTCCTGTTTCTAAAAAGGGCCCACCCCTCAAGACTCCAGCCACCAAAAGCCCTAGTGAGAGTCCGGCAGCCACCACTTCTCCTAGAGGAACCAAGCCATCAGTAAAATCAGAGCTGAGCCCTATTACCAGGCAAACTTCCCAAATTAGTGGATCAAATAAGGGACCTTCGAGATCAGGATCTAGAGACTCTACTCCCTCAAGGCCTACACAGCAACCATTAAGTAGGCCACTGCAGTCTCCAGGGCGAAACTCGATCTCCCCTGGTAGAAATGGAATAAGCCCTCCTAACAAACTGTCTCAGCTGCCCAGAACATCGTCTCCGAGCACTGCTTCAACCAAGTCCTCAGGCTCTGGGAAAATGTCCTATACATCCCCCGGCAGACAGATGAGCCAACAAAACCTTACCAAACAAGCAGGCTTACCCAAGAATGCCAGTAGTATTCCGAGAAGTGAGTCCGCGTCTAAAGGGCTGAACCAGATGAGCAATGGCAATGGATCCAATAAGAAGGTAGAACTTTCTAGAATGTCTTCAACTAAGTCAAGTGGAAGTGAGTCAGATAGATCAGAAAGGCCTGCGCTAGTACGCCAGTCTACTTTCATCAAAGAAGCCCCAAGCCCGACCCTAAGGAGGAAACTGGAGGAATCTGCCTCGTTTGAATCCCTTTCTCCATCTTCTAGACCAGATTCTCCCACCAGGTCCCAGGCACAGACCCCAGTTTTGAGTCCTTCCCTTCCTGATATGTCTCTGAGCACACATCCGTCTGTTCAGCCTGGTGGATGGCGAAAGCTCCCACCTAATCTCAGCCCCACTATTGAGTATAATGATGGAAGACCAGGAAAGCGCCACGATATCACGCGCTCCCATTCTGAAAGTCCTTCCAGACTGCCCATCAACCGGGCAGGAACCTGGAAGCGTGAGCACAGCAAACACTCCTCGTCCCTCCCTCGAGTGAGCACTTGGAGAAGAACTGGAAGCTCGTCTTCTATTCTTTCCGCTTCATCAGAGTCCAGTGAAAAAGCAAAGAGTGAGGATGAAAAGCATGTGAACTCCGTGCCGGGACCCAGACAAACGAAAGAAAACCAGGTGCCCACAAAGGGCACGTGGAGGAAGATCAAAGAAAGTGAAATTTCTCCCACAAACGCGGTTTCTCAGACAACGTCCTCGGGTGCTGTCCATGGTGCTGAATCAAAGACTCTGATTTATCAGATGGCACCTGCTGTTTCTAAAACAGAGGATGTTTGGGTGAGAATTGAGGACTGTCCCATTAACAACCCTCGGTCTGGAAGGTCTCCCACAGGTAACACCCCTCCAGTGATTGACAGTGTTTCAGAAAAGGGAAATCCAAGCATTAAAGACGCAAAAGACAGCCAGGGAAAGCAGAGTGTGGGCAGCGGCAGTCCTGTGCACACGGCGGGCCTGGAGAACCGCCTGAACTCCTTTATTCAGGTGGACGCCCCAGAGCAGAAAGGAACGGAGGCGAAGCCAGCACAGAGTGGCTCTGTGCCTGCAGCAGAGCCTAGTGAGGCCTGTGTAGTCGAGCGCACCCCTTTCAGTTCAAGCAGTTCCAGCAAACACAGCTCACCTAGTGGGACTGTTGCTGCCCGAGTGTCGCCTTTTAATTACAACCCGAGCCCTCGGAAAAGCAGTGCGGACAGCACGTCAGCCCGGCCCTCGCAGATCCCAACACCGGTGAGTAACAACACCAAGAAGCGGGATTCAAAGACTGACAGCACGGAATCCAGTGGAGCCCAAAGTCCTAAGCGCCATTCTGGGTCTTACCTCGTGACATCTGTTTAAAAGAGCTGGAAGAACAAACCTAGGAAAAGCTGGTCTCATCCCAACTGCTGTATAGAGACTTGTTTCAAAGAAAACTTTAAAGGTTGAAAATTTTTGTAAATAGGTTTGATTCTTGTTAGAGGGGTTTTGTTCTGGAAACCATATTTGATAGTCCACTTGGTCCTCACTGGTCATTTTGGAAGGCACTCTTGTTAGGTAGGAAAAAAATGGTAAAGCCAAGTATATTTGTACAGAATGTTTTACATGTATTTAAGCAGCATCCATCCCATCATCCTTTAATTATCGCTTATCTTAAGATAACACTACAGATAGACGCTATATGATATATTGCTGTTATCAATCATTTCTAGATTATAAAATAAACTTACATCAGGGAGAAATTGGTATTTATGCAAAAAAATAGTCCTCGTGAATCCATCTAATGTCATAATTAATCATGTGGCTGTGAAATTCACAGTAATATGGTTCCCAATGAATATGTTTACCCAGCCTGCTTTGCTTTACTGCATGAATGAAACTGATGGTTCAATTTCAGAAGTAATGATTAATGGTTCTGTGATCACATGTGTGCTTAGGATAGCTACAGTGTAACAATTTACACTATTTTGTGCTCAGATCTGTGTAACTGTAAAACATTGAATGGAACTATTTTACCTGAACTAGATTTTATCGAAAGTAGGTAGAATTTTTGCTATGCTGTAACTGTTGTATATTCTGGTATTTGAGGTGAGATGGCTGCTCTTTTATTAATGAGACATGAGTTGTGTCTCAAACTAAATGAACATTTCAGAATAAATTATTGCTGTATGTAAACTATTACTGAAATTGGTATTTGTTTGAAGGGTCTTATTTCACGTTTGTATTAATAATTGTCAAAAGGGCCTCTTTTAAAAGCTAAATGTAAATTTTTTCTTGAGATTCTATGCATTAAGAGTAAAATTCCCTCTTACTGTAATAAAGACAATGAAGAAGATTGTTGACACTTACCCATTCCTAAAATTTATTTTTATGTACTTAGCACCTCTCAGTGCTTGCTGTCCCCACTTCTTCTCTTACTACTCTGGAGTCTGATTAAAGCAAATGCTTGGAATAGCACAAGACGAGGACAGATTGGCCCACATAGAATAATAGCTCCTTTTCCCTAATAGGATTCATACTTGAAACATTGGTTTTTGACAGGTATCACTTGTGTCTTTCAGGCTTTACAGTGCAACTGTCTTACCCCGTCATCTCCTCCATGTTGATACTGGGTCTGAAATTAATGCCTGTCACCATCCTATATGTTAAAGTAGATTGTTTGTGACCAGGTATAATCAGTATTTTCTCATGCTCAAAAAATACAAGTCAGCGAAATGTCAGAGATAAATTTAATGCTGTTACAATAATTTTTAAAGAAAGATAAAGGTGATTGCCATCAAGCCTGAAAACCCACATGGTAAAAGAACAGAACCAACTCCCTAAAGCTGCCCTCTGACCTCCACACCTGCCATGGCACATCTGCGAGTGCACACACAAAGCTCATACATTTCCAAAGGACGGCCTAGGGCCAACAAGGTGGCTCAGCAGGTGACATGGAAGCTGCCCTCTAACTTCCACACATGCACCATAATTAATAAGTCAAAAGGTTTCTTTAGTTCCTGCCTGTTCCATTGTTCTTAATGGGTATAGTGGTAAGGTGTTTAGTGCCCACTTCCCATATGGCAGAGAAACTCTGTCATGAGGGAGAATACACTGATACACGTAATTAGCCAAGAGTTTCAGTTTTGTCAGACTTTATGTGAAGTGTGTCTTTAACAATATCCCATCATGTCCCCTGGGCTGCCATAAGCACCGGGGATGGGAACGTAGTCATAACTGTCTTGCACTCCTAACTTTCGTTAGAATTACTGCACGCCAGTTTTTATAAGCCACTTCAAGTATTTCTGTGGAAAGAGATGAGGTATTAGTTAGAATTAATTGTTTTTTAGTACATGTCTTTAAAAATCAATGTTCGAACTAAAAGAAGAGTTCATTCCACCTGTTGGAGACTAAAATCCCCATGGGCAGCCCTACTGGGAAGGGTCTGTCTGTGTTGTCCCTTGTAGTTGTTGGGTGAAACCCTCTGGCTAGAGGTAATGACTGTGGAAGTGAAGAGGTTTCCTCCGTTCTGCTTTGGACAGTTCACTGGGTGATGTCTTAACTGGTAGCAAGCCCAGTGCCCCAGCTCTGCTTTAATGGCACACTAAGCTCACTGTTGAGGATTGGCTGCTACTTATCTATCTATTAAAAGGGCAGGAGCCTGTTTAGTTTTGCACTACAGCAAAGAAAACCTAAGGTAGCAGTTTTCAGACAGGTAGGTGTGTTTGGGTCATCAGAAGTGTTTATTAAATCACAGCTGAGCCCCACACCCCCAGTTTGAGAGAGTTGATGTGGAGAGGGTTGCAAGAACAAGTTCAGGGATGATAACGTGGCCTTACGGGGTGGAGACCATAAAGAATCACTGTCCTTAGTAGCCACAACACAGCCCTTAACACTTAAACAACTGGAACTTTAATCTGCTGAGGAAGCTCCTTGGCATGAAAGACCTGAATACTGAGTTGTCCAATTCCATAGCCTATGTCAACTCACAGTAGGGAGTAAACTCACCAGACTAACAAACACGCAGTTCTCAACACATTCACTGCATCTGAGGATCAGCTTGTGTTAAAGAGACAGCTCCCGTTAAAGAGCCTTACCAATATGTAGTTTGGATATGCAGTATGAGACTATGAAAAGAGAAATCGAGATGGGAGAAAATTGGTTGCCCATTTGTTAGTGCACAGTAGCGGTGATGAGCTTCACAGATCACCAGGGCACTGACGAGGTAAATGATGAAATAAGATAGGCCCTGTGGGAACCAACCAGTACTGTACATGCGGGCAGAATGTTCTTCATGTGTAAAATGTGGATCATATTACCACAAAGTTAATTAAAAGACGAATTTGTTGCTGAAAATGGGAGACAATTGCCAGGGTTTCTTACAGCTAAGAAAAGAAAAGAATACCAGAAATGCAAAAATTAAACTGCCCAAAGTTAAAGATGGGTTTGCATGGTTGATGATTAAAATCTACCAAACAACTTTTCAAGAGTCGAGGAGGCTAACATGGAGTGTATCTTCTTTGTCACTTTCTAGTAAGCCTGTTTCCCTCACATGCTGACCTTAGAATACTACTTTGTAATGTGGGAATCTATGAACTGTGACTTCTGTAAACCCAGATCATTTTCCTCCTGTTCTCTTAACTCTGGTCTATAAAAATACGTTCTGCTTTTTGTTAGGCCATTGATGCATCTTTCAAACTGTATGTTCTATATGTGTAATACTGTTCTTGGTGCTAAATATACTTTCCTCTGGTATTCAGGATAATTTTTCTCTATATTTCTGTTCACTTACTTTCTTGAAGTTACCTGATTGTTATTTTTAATTAAAAATGCTTAATGTATATACTAGTGAAGGTTGCCATTGAATATAAGAAATACTAGTAAGAAACATCTTTTGAAGGAAGTGCCAGCATTACCAGCCCGTTTACACATTCTTTTGGGACCTAAACACTTTATCTCACTGATAAACCATTGAGCCATGTACCCAGCCTTTCTCCTGATCATGACTGTACCTGAAGACATGTGTGGCCTGGGTTAGATAAACTAAATTGACTAGGCTAGTCAGTTTGAGATAAAAGTCACAAATTTCCTGGCATGGTGTGGTGACACACAGTTGGGGAGGGGGGAGTAGGAGGGTCAGGAGTTCAAGGTCATCTCTAGTTTGGGGGGTGAAGGCCAGCCTACCTCCAGGCTCAGTGAGAGACCCTCCTCTCAAAGGAATAATGCAGTGTTAGAGTAGGACCCTGACCTCTTCCTCTGACCTCCATGTGTGCATCGGCCTGACCACCCATGTGCACATATACCACACACACACGTGCGCGCGCGCGCACACACACACACACACACACACATTTCGGCTGGCAAGAGATGTAACAGAGTATCTGCAGACTAAAGGCTGACTTGGGACAATGTAACAAGCCAGGGAAGAAAGAAGGGAACAGATTCAGGAAAGCAATTAAGAGATAATCACTAGCTACTAGAATTACCCCTGTTTCTGTTTTCCTGACTTGGAGTTTGTGAACTAACTTCAGTTCCTAAAGTGACAGGAAGCTAACAAAGCCACACTTAAACACGTCATAGTTGGGTTTGGTTATGGGGGAGAATCAAGTGTGGAAGCCAAGCCCTTCTACCAGTGATCCACACTCCCAGCCTATTCAAAAGTAGGGGGAGAAGAGGAGAACTGGACTGATGTCAGAGTCCCACAGTACATAATGATAAGATTACCACAGTATTTGCATCCCTTGGAAGGAAATAAAAACTTCCCATTTGTCTGAAGTGCTTTTATCATTTGAGATTCTTTCAAGTTTCTTAAGTCCTCTAAACGACAGGCTGTCCTAGTCAGGGTTACTATTGCTGTGCTGAAACAACATGACCAAAGCAGCTCGGGGAACACAGGGCTTACTTCATTTCTAGTTTTGTATAATGTCGTCCATCATCCAAAGCAGAGAGGGCAGGAACCTGTAGTCAGAAGCTGATGCAGAGGCCATGGAGAGATACTGTTTATTGGCTTGGTCGGCCTGCTGTCTTACAGAACCTAGGACCACCAACCAAGGGATGGCCCCACCCATAATGTGCTGGGTCTTCCCCCACCAGTCTTTAATTAAGAAAATGCCCTGCAGGCTTCCCTGCAGCCTGCTTTACTTCTCAGTTGAGGCTCCCTCTCAGACAACTGTAGCTTGTGTCCAGCACATGAGGTCTATGTTTAGAATATCAGATCGCTCACAAAATCTGAGAGCTAGAAAAATAAGTTTTGAGAACTGCAATAGAAACAGCCCCCAGAACAGACCTACTGCAGTGGAAACCTAGCTGCTGCTCCTGAACACTGAGCTCCTGACACCAGGATAAAATGGGCGTGGCCCTCATTTCCTGCTGCCTGCTCCCCACTGAAGTCTCGCTTCAGTGAGTGAGTGGCGATTGACAGGTTACACACTCATGATATCTGTATGGAGGAGGCGAGGTCCATAGACATGGATTGTCTGAATCTCCTGGGGGCCCTTAAAAGCACTGGGAAACCAGGGGCCTCGACACAGCCACACCACAGCATCAGTTAAATACAATCAGAACAGTGAATAGGATAAATAATTATGCATCTCAGTCCAAATACTCCTGTCTTAGTTAGGCTCCTATTACTGTGAAGAGAACCATGACTACAGCAACTCTCATGAAGGAAAACACTTAATTGGGTGGCTTACAGTTCAGAGGTTCAGTCCGTTATCATCATGGTGGGACAAAATGGCAGCCTGCAGGCAGCCGTGGTGCTGGAGAAGGAGCTGAGATTGCATCGTGATAGGCAGGAGTGAACTGAGAACACTGGGCGTATCTTGAGCACAGGAGACCTCAGAACCCACCCCACAGTGAAACCCTTCCTCCATAAAGCCACACCTCCTGATAGTACCACTCACAATGAGTTCATGGGGGTCAATCACATTCAAACTACCATAAACTCAAAACAGGAAAAATGAAATGCTTGGTAATTTTAATCTTGTGCTTTTAGTCTTACACTAAAAATTAAATTATTTCAACCCAAACTGGGAAACAAGGGTTAGAAGTGAGCATAAAAGTTTATAGATCCCTAAGGATTTCTCCACAGGTGACAGTGGAAGAAAAAGCACTGGGGGTTGGGAAACACTGATAAGATGTGCATTTTCCTGTGCACAACTCACTGGGTCATCAAGACAAAGTGACAGGAAAGAAAAGGGGGACTAATTGGGAAAAGGAAGAGCATTAAGGAGTGGGAGAGGGACCAGAAGGTCCTGGGGACTTACTATCTAGATACATTATATATGTATATGAAATTATCAGTAAAACCCATTGTTTGTGTAACTAATACATACATATGCTAGTAAACCATTCAATTATTTCATCTTCTAGATAGTAAATCACTCAAACAAGACATGATAACGAAGCAGATGAGGAAGAATGAATTAGAATGCATAAAATGGTAGGGGAGTAACATGTTAAGCATATGATTAACCGCGATCAAACTGGATAAAGTCATAAGCATATGATTAACCGCTATCAAGCTGAGTAAAGTCAAATCCTCCATTAACAAAAGACATGGGATTTTCCAGAGTAAAAACAAGACTGCAGTACCTCCATCTCGAGTGCAGAGGAAGCAGCAATGGCCAGTCTAAGCAGAACTATTTTGGAGGCAAGGCGTTCAACATGGCACTTAAGGCGTGACTGAAACTCCTAAGTGCCAAGTGAGACAGAGGAAAGTTGATTTAGACATGATTGTGTGCACCTAGAACCCCAGCACTCAAGAGACAGGAAAGTCACAAGTTCACAGCCAGTCTGGCCATAGCTCAGGAGGCAGAGGTAGGCAGCTTGGTCTATATAATGAGTTCCCTGCCAACTAGGACTACATAGTGAGGCCCTCTCGAGAAGAAAAAGGTCACTGAGCTTGGCTGTTTGAGAAAGGACTTGTTCTACAGAGAAGAAAGAGCTGCCTACAGTTTGGATTTGAAAGAACGGGTCCTGTTAAACAGTTTCCTCAGAAGGTTCCTTCATGAAGACTTTGATGTTTTGAGGTCCAGACAACTAACCCTGGGGTTGAGATGTGGAGATTAGAGAAAATTTACTAGTTTTGCTTATGGTGAACAGAATTTGGAATTCTTGGAGTGGTCCAGGAATGAGAGAAATGGGAACAAGTTTAAGGAAACAGGAGGCCACACATTTGTGGTGGTCCAGATCCCTGGGCAGGGCAGGGCAGGGCAGGGCAGCTCAGAAACAAATATACATCCTTTCACTCACAACCACAGATCTTTATTTAAAAAAAAAAATCTATTCCTGACTTAATTTATTGTAGTCGGAGGCTGCTTGTTCGTTTCCTGACCACCCAACCTGAAATAATCACACAGAAACTATATTAAATGCAATATTGTTTGGCCAATAGCTTAAGCATATTTCTAGCTAGCTCTTACATCTTAACCCATTTCTATTATTCTGGATTTTACCACAAGGCTTGTAGTTTACTGGTACAGGCACTCTGACGTCTTTCTCCTCCAATGGCTACATGGCATCTCTCTGACTTTGCCTACTCTCTCCTCCTCTATCTGCTTGAAATTCCCGCCTTGCTTTACTGTTAAGCCATTGGCCGAAAGCAGATTCTTTATTAACCAATGGCAATAAAACATTCACAGCATACAGAGGGGAATCCCACATCAGTTGTCACTTGCGGGGTTTTGTGACCATCACTTGTCTGTGTTGTTTTGAGTGGATTTATTTTGTGGAGGTTTTTTGCTGCTGTTTTTGGGTGAGTTAGAACTCTTTAACCAGGCTGACCATGAGCTCCTGATCCTCAGTCTCACCCACACAGGGATTAAAGGTGTAATCACTCCCACCTTATTCTCTTGTTCTTATTTTTCAGGCTATGCCCTTAACTAGTAATACGAGCCTCTCATATTGCCAGTGAGTTATTAGCTGGCAATTAGTCTTCATCTTTGTTAATTTGGAATGGTTGGAGGATTTCCTCAAATGCTTACTTTTTCAGAAAAGCGAAATAATGAATAACCTTTTCCAAATCTACACTTGGCTTAAAGTTGCCCTCACACAATAATAATTTGGATCACAATTTTGGTCATATTTCTTCCTTCCCAGAGCTCTCATGTCCGCCATTTTCTAGTCATAAGTTCAACTCTCAGAGCTTTTCCTTCCTGCATCTTTATGGGAGTCATTTGTTACATTTGTCTTATTCTGGATGTGTGTATGCATATGTGTGGAGGTCAGGACACCTTGTGGGAGCCAGTTCTCTCCTTCCACTATATGGATTCCAGGGATTGAACTCAGGTTGTCAGCCTCGCTGGCAAGTGCCCTTAGCCACCAAGCCATCTCCCTGGGCCGGGGGTTTTAAATTTTATTCTCATGAAGAAAAAAAAAGTTTTGCTGGCAGATGCATAGCTGTTTATTTTTTCTTCGTCACCCTGTCTTTTCATATTAAATCTTTTCAACCTTGAGTTTTTAGTGAATGTTCTTATACTAGCTTCATATTCCTGCTCTCTTTTTCTCTTAGCTGTCTTGACTCTTTACAGGGAGAAGATATTGGGCAAGGATATTGAATAGCCCAGGCTGGCCCCAAATTTTATCTGTAGCCAGGGCTGGCCTTGGATTTCTGATTTCCTACTTTCACCTTCGAGAGGCGGGATTGCAGGCATATGTACCACCTCTCCAGCAGCAGTGCTCGACAGCAGCCTCTGTCTCCTCCTGATGTGTTTCAACAACAATTTCGAGCTGGCTAAGAGGCTGGAACTGGTAGAGAAAGGCGCTCAGCACGAGCTC